AACAAGGACCCCATGAGGAAAAATAGATACGAGGCATGCTTTGGAGTTGAAAAATAACCACCTGTGTGTAAAATGGTTATAAGGATCTTTTATAATATTACTTGATATTAAAAAATTCTGCAGTAGGGATTGGTCGGTCACTCACTGACCTAAGACACCACTGAGCATGTTTCGTAATTGCGAGGTCTAGGGGTGGTCTTTTATGGTGGATGAATAGCAATGGCTGAAATTGAATTTTTCTGCACGTTTATTTCACGCCATTGTTCAAAATTGAATAGAACCGAGACGTTTATAATAATATAAACAGTTTCAATGTCAGATCAAAATAGGAAACGAATTTTCATAAAGAATGTTATATATTAATTCATAAAATTTTAACGAACACCCAATTATAAATCTAGCGTAGTTTCGCGGGAATAAAGACCAAACAAACAGGAGAGGTAAAAAGAAATGTGCAACAATGGGCATTAAAATAATCACTTTTTCTGTCATTTTTAAACATCACCATACGAGATATGGTTGGTGATTACTAGTTTCACGCTGTCAAAGATGATTAATTCGAAAACTTGATTTTTCTCATTCTTCGGTTCTTGTTAATATTTGAAAATCCCCTCTAGAGCTAAAAAGTGGTTCTGTTACCCTTCTGTACGATTCCCATCCATCTATAAACGTTTTTTTAAGAAGAATTTTTTATCAGTTCTAAAACTTAACAACTTATAGAAAACAACACTTAATATTTGTTGTTAGATTTGAAATTCGCACCGTTTTGTTTACAATCAAAGATTTCAAATATTTATCTATCGATTACAAGATCGCTGTCGTCTTAAGTTCTGCTGCATACAAAAAGCAAATATATATATATATACGATGATTTATGATGTTACAGATTAAGTAAAGTAAAATTTGTGTTTGTTATGTATATACACTTCACTAGACGTTTTATTTATGGATTCTTCCAGTTACAGCGTTTGCGTAATTATCTAACGCATATTTGGATATTTATATAATATATTCTATGCTGTACTGAACAATTCTGCAGAGGTAATTTTTTTGATTCTATAATTCGACCATGCACAAACAGTCTTAAGTTAATAGTTTATCCCAGGGCCATCCATGGAACTCATTAGTTGTTTATTTTACATGCAAGTAAGCGTTAGTAATAAATGACCATCTGGATAGCGATCACAGCCAATGTTATTTTTAAGGTTCAACACACAAATCACCACAATCTGTAGTGAAATCAAATTTTCAAGTTCATGCCTAATTTACTTCAAACGCTGGTAATCAATCAAATATACTATAAAGCTGAGCAGCAAGTGATAAGGATTTCAAAGTAATTACATTAGAATCGTTACTAAGGAAGGATTAATCGCGCTCCAGTAGTGAGTGTACCAATATGGAGGTAATTTTATTCGCCTACTTCACATAAAGTTTGGTAAAAGGACTGAAATCTGTGGGGGTATATTTACTTGGCTACCACAGACAGTACCCGAACTTGTAATGGAACTAAAAAAAAGAAAATCGGAATAAAGTTATGGTCCAACCCTTACCTGGTGCTCACACTACGGGAGAAACTGAATAATTATGAAATAGTATATCGCATTACTTTTAACGCAAGTCCATTTTATGTTTTTTCTAACACAGTTTTAAACTACAACTATGGATTACTGCATCTTCGTTTTATTTTGGTGATGTTTATTCATTGTGTATACAGAAGGCTTTCCAAGGTTTTTAACATATTTTAGCAACATTAGCTATTATGCAGTTCAAGAGTCGTGCTGCACGCTAACACAATTGTATTTCTGTAACGTTTCGTCTGACCAAAATCAGACTTCCTCAGACAAGCAGTTTACAACAATGACCCAATTATGCATTATGTTGAAGTTGGGCGAAATTTTAAATCAAAAATTACATTAAGAAATGGATAATTTCACGATAGCACACAAAGAAAGCAGAAAAAAAAATCAAATCATAGACAATAACATTAATTTGGAATAACACTAAAAAACAATCCATGAAATCATTAATAAATAACTTTCTACTATTTCTAAGTTTTTTCCGTTGAACAGAATGAAAAAAAAAGAACTATACTTATACTGTGGTGGAAAAGAAATCAAATAAAACAAATTGGAGTTATAACAATGCTTCAAATTTTAAATGTATTAATTTTATGCAACACGACCGCAGAAATAATTCCGCAATTCATGGAGTAATTTCAAAGTGTAGTCCCTCGAATATTGTAAAATTGCACAGTTTTTGTATATAATTACTTCGCCACTATTCTGTTTCCTATCAAACAGTTCAAAATAATAGGTGACGATATTATTCCGATATATTCTGTACAAAAATATTTTCTACCGAAAGTCTCAGGGATTTTTCGGATTTCATACTATACTATGCACCAATATTGTCTTATCCCACAGTGTGGTCTGTTTTTGTAACCAACTGTTTGACCCCGATTCGGGTCATCAAACGGGGTCAAATGTCAAGGAAGGAATGTCATTCGTAAGAATATTATCATAATAAATACACGTGCATCCAACTAATTTGAGATACTATTACGTCATACGGCGCCAGAATCAGTAATATTAAAAAATCTGTGTAATTGAGAAGTACGATATCATTCACAGATTGTAAAATTTGTTCATACTCATATTTTAAGTATTAAATAGATAAGTTTTACCTGAACTTAGTTATTTCAATTTTAAATAAAAAAATAATTTTTCTCACTAAATATCACTCAAAAATGTGGATTTGGCAACTGTTGAGCTGGTATTTTGTTAAGTATTTACTAAAAGCCAATTATTTGCAGAATGAAAATCCTCACACTTTCCAATATATTTTAAGTTTCCTAAAAAATAAACATGTCTGAATTGTGGTAAAAAATTGGCAAAAAATGGCGTTTGTTGTTTTTCGGCTCATGCTTCAGAAATGGTTTTACTAATTTTGTAACCGACTTTGTATGGGCGTTTGATAGTATAAATCTTAAACGTAAGACATATTCATGTAACAAACATGTTACTAAGACTAGTTAATTAACATACTCTGGTCTGGGCACCGCAATGTTTTGTTGTGAAAGCGATGAAAGTTCGCGGGCGGTAAAATTCCTTTGACCTTGAAAGTAGGAAGTGTTGTTTTATTGTAAATGCAATTAGCCCCATTTTGACGCTTGCTCAATCATCCGCAATGAATGTGTGTGTTCTTTCAGCTTGCGAACGATGGATACTCTCGTTTGTTTGAAAGTTATATTAGGAAAAGTATACAGGGTGTTAATAAAGTCCCTTTGCAATTTCAATTTTGTTATGAAGTCAGTTCTCTAAATATATCCTAACCAGTTTGTCGTTTTTAATCAGTAATTGTTTAAGTATTTTTACTTCATTTAATACATCTGTGAGGGCCAAAACAATATATGGTATCGATAAAATTCCCTTTGCAATTTTAAAAAATGTTTAAACTTTATGGACACCCTTTATACCCATCTTAGTCTGTCTTATCGTAGTGATGTTTATGAATAAATTAATATTTCAAAATTCTGATTTCTTATTAATTTTGATTTCTCTGTAAAATTGTAAATTACTCCCAAATGGAAGTTCAATTATCTGACACCTTGAAGAACAAGATTTTATGTGTTTTTTTTTAAACAGGCCAAAGTCGATACATTTTTTTTTTAATATATTTTTTTCGTTTTTCTAATGAAGAAAAATATTCAGATATCCTTGTATTTATAGAAGAAATTCAAGTAAACATTAGTTAACAAAAACAATTTATGTTGTATGAACACAAAGACAGCATGGCCGAATTTGTCTTATATATTAGAAAGTACAAAATGTAACCGAAACAGTTTACAGCACAACAGCTTGCGTTTGCGTTATCGCACTAATATAAACCCATGTTTGAGACGGTGTAAACGACGCATAACACTCGTAAACACATTGAGCAATTCTCAGAAAATTTACCACTGATTAATTTGTTTTTTTGTTTATCTATTTTTTATACTTATTGTTTTCATACTTGGAAAATAAATTCATTATATTTCATACAACCAGGAGTTTTAACTTGGCCAATTATGAACGGTTCATATTTCTTTCCCCCCATCTTCATAACACTTATTCAAACTTATTGATCGGTTATATAAACAGAGCCGGAAACAGGGTGAATCAATTCATTGTATTCCTGATCGTATGTGGGGTGGTCTGTTATCATAAGTTTATTTTAGCTCGCCGACCCCGCACCCCATTCACCAGTCTCCCTTTTTTGAAAAAATAGAGCATTTTAAACATGCATTTGATAGTGATTTAAGTAGTAATGCTCGTTTTTTGATGTTGTCAGTGGTGCAACACTTACATAGCTATTTTACTTGATTTCCCCATTTTTTTTACATTGCTCAAGAACCATGTTATATGACTGGCGTAGGATGATTAGACAAATTTGTTTTTGGTTGGCAAAATACCACAAAGTATAAATGTCAGCTTTATCTTAGCGAAGAGGTTGATCCATAATATTTTTTAACCCCAAAGACTATTTTCGTTTCGTAAAAATGTTGAACAAAAATGTGTATGGTGGTTTAGAATAGTGTTAAAAAAACTTAAATTTTTTGTACACCGCAGTACATCACGTTACATTATATTTCATTATAGCTTTTTCACAATGTCCAAACTGTATCGGTATTTTAAATTTATCAACATTTGTATCCTTCCATTAACTATCTTTATATGAGAAGTATAGTATAAATGTGTATCGACCGTTTCCAATTTTTCTATATATCATGACAGTAATTTCTGATAAATTCACGATTTTTGTTCTTGAACTTTGTTAAGAATAATTGTATGCACGATTAAGTTCCGATTGATCTGATCTTTTCGTATTTAGAAAATGTCCGAGGTATTAACCATGGACAAAAGTCGAAATTCACATTTACTGAATTACAAGTTATCAATATTTAACAAGAGTGACCATATTTAAGTTACTATGTAAAATTCAATTTTAAACCTTTCTCATAGCCGGAGGAAAACTTGAAGAAGAATTAGAATACACCAAGAAATCGATTGGAGAAGGTCTGGGTGCAACTTGGCAAATCTTGATTCAAACAGGGGAAGATACAGCGACTATTGAATCCATGAAACTTCATCTGGCTGCTGCTCGTGCTGCAACTGAAATTAAAGTTACTGTCTATGATCAGTAAGTACATTGAAATATGAAGATTTTTTATGAAGATATATCTAGTTGACATCGGGAAAGTCGAAAGTCGAAAAAAAACTTTTCTGTGTGTGACAATCTGTGGTTTATTCAATTTGTCATTTGAGGTCTAAGGCGCTCTTAATCAGTAATATTTTGTCGCTGGTATGACGTCACGTTTTCATTGTGACGTCAGTTTTTATTTAACTGGTCATTCAATGAGTGACGGGAATGCATATAAGTCTATATTGAGACTAGAAGGAAACACATGATACTCTCTCCGTGTTATATACTTGTCAAAATATTTCTAAATGAAATGAATTATGATGATATTCTTACATTTTATCTTATTATTCCAATATTATTACAGAGATTGGGAAATATCCGATTTATGTTATAAAGAAGTTCCTGATATGGGCGAATCAAGTTTTATTATTGAAACGGTTAGTTGGTAACATTTGTAATTATTTTTATGTACATTACATAAAAAATTTTCTCGTTTTCATAGAGTAAAATTTATTACTTTTAAACTTGGTGAACAGCTCTCAACCACATAGTATTATGCTAACTTTGCTAATTGGGTTTATAGAATTTTTTTAAATTAAGAATTGATGTTTGTTGGCAAGGTAACGCTTAGGTATTATTCTTGTTCGCCATAATAACAATTAATTTAAAACTAAATTCCTGAGATTATTACTCACTGAAAGACAACAACCAATTCTTTTTCTTTCTAGTTTATTCAAAAATTATTCCCATGTTTTATTATGGGACCATTGGATTGCTTTTATGAAGGAGCTGAATTGCTTGGTCCTTCGACTCCGTTTCCAGCTATGAAATTCAACGGGTGAGTTTGTTTATTGTAACAAATTAAGTTAATTATTCTTGATAGTTTTACTAAATTGTTAATTGTTGTTGTTGTGTAAAATATTCGTTTCCGCCGCTACTATTTGGCCAATCAATTTGAAAGTTTTGGTACTGAAAAATGTAAAAAATTAGCTGGTAGGCTATTTGTGTTATTTTTTTTAATTTTTTGATATTTCACGCGAAATTTGGAATCTTTTTCAATTCACGAGCCTTCACCTTCATAAGAAATTCGTCACACATATTTAAAACATTTGACGTTCAATATAATTGATATTGATAATATTAGTTTTCTTTAATGTTGCTCATAACTGGCGTAGTTTTGTGCACCAGGACTATGATATTACGCGACATATTCTATAACAAAAGATATAATTTTGGGATTTGTTAGTAAATTGATTATATTTGAGGGGATATATTCATTTCTTTGCAATGATTAATTAAACATGATCTTGGGACGTCATAGCGGGAACAATATATTAATAAATGTTCAACGGTGTCGTTTTCCAAGCAAATCGATGGTGGTCATTATAGTCGCATGGGATTTGTGTCCAAATATTTCAGCATTGATATTCTGTGTTTTAAACATTTGATTTTTTCGAACATTATTCCTCCTAACGCAGTAGATGTGAAATATTTTTTTTCTCATAAAACTCCAAAATATAAAACCGTTTTAATAGTGCGCCACCTGTTTGTTTGATTTATTTAAAAATATTTACGACTTTATTTCGAAACTCCACGTGTTCACGTCATATTGGCAAGTAATTCAAACCTGCATTCATCAAAGGTAATTTCGAAGCAATTGGGTGATTAATTCCGCTGACATGATTATAGTATTTATATAAAATAACGATAAGTATAAAGAACAGATCAGAAGGCCAGATTACTTGCGATAAAACTATAATTTGTATTGGAGGACCACACATGTTGTTTAAACCACAATAATGTTGAAAATCCATGTAAATTTTAGTGGTTTTGGAGAGTTATTCAAAATCTGCGTGCCGTTACTGATTATGCGATTTAAAATTGATCCACATTTGTTTATGTCCTGCGACATGAACGAACAGTTGTACATATTTAGCCCAAAGTATATACGTCCACAACACGTTATTCGTTGTTTTATCGTACACTTTAAGTCTTGCATATTTAACCTAATTTTTTTAACAGTAAGATTTATTAAAATGTGAAGCGACGCAATTTCATTGGTTGTTGCTTTAACGTGGATTTTGACAACGCCCATTTTCATCCCATAGCTTTTAGCATAGACTTGTTGATACACATTGCTTTAAGCCAAAAATTTATTTGAAATATCCTAGTCACTTTAATTTATAGAAATTACAAGGCAATAGTTTTTGAACGATTCAATTTGTTGGAACTTGTTTTTAGAGTCCCTGTATTCTATCCCTATCATAACATTATATAATTGTCGCTATCAGCTACAATTTAAACCAACATCAGGTATGACAATCGACATTGACATTTGGCTAGTGTTAAAAAAGGTCTTGCTACTATTTTCGTGCTCAATAGTGAATATCGCGGTCGCGGTTTTATTTGTTTGACTTACATATTTGTAGAGAATTAGGTTTCAATCGAAAATAATCGCACACAGTTTATATTTGATTTGATTTTACTTTCTTCCCACTAGAGAATGTAAAAGGTTGAGACACAAAACATTGTCTTCAGTTATTATTTACATTAGGTCATTTTTCGTGTCTACGTGAGAAACTATTTTATTTGAAAATATACTGCTTTTTTGCACCTATAAACATTTTGATTTGACAATCTGTTTGTTTTCAGTGTTGAGATTCCAGCTTTCACTTGGAAGAATTTATATCCGAAGGAATTACTTGATATGTTCAGTTCTATTCATGATGTTCGAGAATTTTCCGAACTTGTTCAAGAGGTAAATTTGGTTTTTGCTATTTTTACTTTATTGTTTTGATGGAAGAATTCCTAATTTGCCGTCCAAATATGTGTGTTTGTTTGCAAATTAATTATTTCAATCAAATGCGTTTTTATATTCACAGGCTGGTGTTGATTACGGTTACCAGAACAGATGGTGTTTGGATCCGTATAATGCAGAATGTCCAGAACTTGCACCGAATAAATACACCAAGGAGGTAACTGCGACTAATCTTCTTCTTTTTTTCATCTCAAATACGTTTCAAAGATTATAATTTTGTTCAACATTTCAAGATGATCGTAATTTATATTCCCGTATGAAGTTCAAGTTTTTGGTCATTGGTAATACACCAGAAACGAGAAAAGTGTTTACGATTTCCATTTTTATTTTCCCATATGTGAACAATCTTATCGAATTTTTTGGGCCGGAAATTGTCATTTCTTTATTCGCAATAAATTTTTGTTGGGGTTCGCCTATTCGTCTTGTTTATTTGCCTTGTCACTTGAATTTGATATTTTTTACTATAGTGCTTCATCGTAGCTATATAATATACAATCGTCTATTTATGCTATACAGACGCCTAGACCTATACGTAATATTTTGTTTTTAGGGGATATTTGTTAAGTCGCCTTTCCCACGTTCAAATACGCGGTATGCATAATTACCTCTTTTTCGAGAAAGATTTCGTTCTGGATTTTAGTAGATAATAGGTTGCTATAGATACGCACCATTGTGACGTACAACTAAGATTAACCCTTGAACTTCAAACGTATTAACTTCATTCTCTCGCTTGTTAAGAGTTAAAAGATTTGCTCGGGCCAGGCATAGACGCGCGTTTGTTACCAGCGAGACATCGGTAAACCATGCGAGCTTAGTAATGTTAATCGGTCATAACTCTTAGAATGGAGAGCCGACTCGACAGAGTAAAGAGTTAAAAGCGGGCACTGTACAATGGATCCGGCGAATACAATCCGGGGGTTTTATTTAATAAGCAAGAGAGGATATAACCTAATTATTGCTTCCAATTCTGTCCGGGGTAGATTTGATATTTCAAACGAATTTACCGCCATGTTTCGGAAAATTTGACAAGCACGGTGGGCTCACACCATTCAACATAATCCTTTAATAGGTGCTTATGTTTTAAACAAAAAAGAGGTGTAACCGCACTGCACAATTTCGAAATTCGCCTCATTGTCAACACATAAGTTGGAAAAGGTGTTTACAAAAACATTCAAATTATTTTTCACGAATTTAATATACATATATGTATTATACATATGTAGAATTAAAGTCTCCTGCTTTTAACTTGAATAAAATGTATTATCAACGAGTTATTTAAGCCTGTACTGCGAAGTCTTTCACGTTGACGAATTGGTGCCACGCTGTGCTTATTTTACAGATGTTATACCAGACTGTGACATTCTGAAATTTTGATACTTTTTCTCGAAAGAAACTGCCAATGTGCCATGGGGCAAATAAATTTTCATGTCAAAAACTTATTTCAATAACTTCAGTTTTGTGGAATTCACAACCGTATTTCCTAGTTGGATTTACTTGAACTCTTGCTTCAGGTCTCGCGCCATTCGGCATTTACTAATCGAAGTTCCTGAATAACATCATTCATTTGTGAATTTTTTTTTTATAAAACTAGCAAAAGGATTTTACTTTCATTCTATAATTGAGTGAACTCAGAAAGGTTAAGATGTTAATTTTAAGACCCGTACCAGCCGGGTTTTTTTATTGTTAGTTTAATCTCCAAAACGAGACGCCAAAAAACCGCCGCCCCTTGGTTCATCCCAGATCACAAAACACCAAATGGTTGATATTTCACACACATTTTATAGGCGGTTGTGAAGTTGAGTGCTTTCGCATCTTCCACTTTTTTGTATATTATACACTGTAACATGTATGCCGCGGCCTGTCGTCCTATTCCAATCCCACGGCCAAATATTGCTCATTACTTATCGATCTTGATCGGTAAGTATGTTGATAGGTATTTGTCTGTCTGTCTGTCTGTTAGACACTTTCGTATGTTACGCGATATCTCACGGAAGCGAGGTTGGATCTGCTCCAAATTGCATGTGCATTCGTTCTATCTCGGACCGGAAGGCTATTGATTTTGGATTATGTCGTATAATTAGCTGGTTATTAATTAATTAGTGATGGGACACGCGGTGTCACTATTGAGTCAGATCGAAGGATTCACGGCGCTAGATCGATAAGTCGGCGGTCTCTGTTCGCTATCTCGTTCAAGAGTTGAGAGCTTGAGCTGCTTCATCTCAATCGCAAACTAGATTTTATTGGAATTTGCAAAAGGACCACCGTGGTTTACTTGAAGCTGTTAAACTATGGGACCTTACACGATTTTACGTTCTGTAATAAACGTTGAATGTCATCCTTTGAAATAATTGAAAAATAATCCTCTTTGTCGGCAATAGTTATATTGTAATATGGCAATAATTTAACTCGCGAGGAATTTTTCATGACACTGGTATTTTTACTTATTTCCGCTTACTTTTGAATATTTATTCATCGCTGAAGGTTCTATTCTTTTGTAAAGAGAAGTAATTTATTGGTTATTGCTTCTTAAGGAGTAAAAGTAGTGGCTTAATGTTCCTGTCAACTATTTTTTTACATGTTTTTTATGAATGTTCTCCGATTAATCAAAGAGAAGATTATTCTATTTTTGAAGCAAGGTGTTTGAGCAGTAAAACACACTTTCTGAATTCCGTTGCATAAGTCATGTAATTTTTGCTACAGTAGACAACAAACTTTGCGAAGTCGTAGATTCCGGTTCTAACAAAAATAGTCTTTATCTTTGTATTTGTCATATTTGGTGTTTTGTGGCATTTTCCCTGTGCAAGCGTTACGATATTTCCATGCATTCGAACTTTCCTGATTTTTTTAAAGGTAAAACTTATGGTGTTGTTTAAACAGGAATGCGCGTAATAATGTTCTATCATCTCTAAATTATAAGTTTCAACCCAAAGGGCTATCGAGTTCACCCTCACGAACAATAGTTATGTTATGAAAAGGACTGAATTATAGAGCAGTAAATAGTATCGAAGTCTAATTTTATCCTTCACCGCGATTCGTGATAACTTTCATAAACTTGAAAATAAACTCGATCGACTTTTTCCCCTTACAAATTTGAGAATTGATTTTGAGGTTTTAATTTAGATCCAATCTGACAGTTGTTTCACAACTTTGCTTCGAAGCAGTTATCGAACAAGCATCTACTGATACATAGGAACCCAATAAGCTTGCGAAAGAACCGACATCTTTAACGTTACAAAATAGCGTACGATTAATTGGGAGTGAAAATTTATATATGTTGCCAATCTTCATGCGCAAGGTCCTTCCTCTACGTAGAGCGTATATTGGGGTTGCCGTATAGACAACGGGTAATGGTAATGAATATGGTTGGATATAGGGTTCCAATTGTCATTGTAATGGTCTCCTTTGTGGAGGGAATATTGGGCTTCTATTAAGATAGAGCGGGCATTATTTTAAGGTCAGCTACATAAGACGTGCACTGCCAACTGACTGTATATCCTGACGAGGTGATGGGCATGAGGTATAGAAAGTTCAGTATGTAATATCATTTCTACAAATTGTCACCCGCATAGTTATATAAATTGAATTGCTCATTATAAGGAATAAAAGTCATTCAAAGGTCGCTGTTTTTCTAACAAAAATAGCATTTTCACCATTTCTATTATTGGAATGGACTTCAAATGTCATTTCATTGGTATTTATAAAAGTTATCATATCCGAAAAAGTAATCAATCAAAAAACGTTTAAACTACCTTTAAATGTGAAATTTTAAATGTGACCATTAGCAAAATAAATGTAAATGCGGAGAAATGTTCTTGCTACAATTTTAGCTTGTAAATCTATACGGGATCTTGATGCATTAATAATCAAGGAATATATTCCTAGAAACCAGGTATAGTGACGCGATTATTCGTGTTCGTGGTTCGTATTCGAAGCTCTAATTGTAGTCTCGTTTCATTTGTTGCAACTTTGTTGTTTTGTATTCTCCTGACGTCTCATTCTAACTAGTAATTTTTTTCATTTTCAGCTTCCAGACGTAAAATCATTGATAAACGCTGGGTGTGAAGGTTACGCAACAAAATTCATGAAATGGCCAAACGATCTCATCGTTGGAGGAATTGAGCGAGATGAAGACGGAAATATAACAAAGTATGTACCTTAATGTGCAGAATTTCTCTAAGTAGATTTCAGTACGTTATCCTGGAATGTTAACGTTCAAGTATCGATAGATGTATTTTAAATTTAAGTACATCACCTCACCTAAGTTGTAAAATCTGGCTTGGTGATGTTGCACTAAAATGAGTCTTTCCAATTAAACATGTTTCCAATTAAAGATTATTTGCTTGTACAGAGCCATTTTGGAAGCTTGAATATTACAATTAATCTATATTTAAACACCGAAACGGCTCATTTTAATCAACTTCACTCTTAAAAGTATTGTGTTTGACCTGGTCATATTTCACCATTGCCAAAATCTGAGAAATTCATTCAATCTGTCGTACTTTTGAAAAAAAACACAAACATTTGAAATTTTCAATATATTAGAGTCATGATCCTTAGTGGCGGAAAAAATATCTTTAAAATTTTTGATTTAAATCTACTTTGACAGTACTTCTACAATAATCAAGGCTTGAATTTCGAAGTATTTTCGTTTACTCGTCGTTTCCCATCGTTTAGTATTTACTTTAACGCTACGACCCATTTGTAAAGCTACAAGGTCGAGGGCTTGGGAGTGTTTCCACAATTAGAAACACGAAGCAACCACATACCTACTTCAAACATATTTCATCCCTTTTCAATACATGAAGGAGAATTACTGAAAAAATTCAAATTGTTTCTTTCTCAATGGTGATTTTCGGCGTTAAAATGTCTATTAGTTGACTCACAAAGAGTGGAGTTAGTCATTTGATGCAAATGGGGTAATTTGTCAATTCCGTGATGGATAGAAATGCTGATATGGATCGTTCATCTAACGCATAAGACGTTTACGCATCAACGTTTACATTATGTGTTCACTTCATCAAAAACATTATTTTTTGAACTTTGGTAATATTTTGTAATTAACACTATGGAAATTGTGTTCCTTTTATATATTGGTTTTATCTTCGAACATGGCTGTGTACTATAGTAGACGGTTATACATGGTGAATCTCAGACCTTATTTGAAGATAATTTTTAATGTAAGAAGGCATAACCAAATTTTACACTATGAGTGGATGGTTGGGGTTGAGCCCGGTATATACAATCTTGCATTGAATATTTAAAAATGTCGAAATATTTTTCCACGAGAATTTGCTCAAAGCAAGGTACACCACGCTCAATCAGAACAACTTATCTCTTATCAAAGTTACGGGCCAGCACCGCAAAGCCAAGAGATATACGAAAACATATATAATCATGGTGATGCATTGTGCGCTAGTGAATCCAATTTGCGCGAAGAAGCTAGCTGTTCAAGTCTATACGACCAGGAAAACTTCTTCAAGATAGTAAATTCCGCATGTATCATCATCATTACCACTCCCAATGAAAATATAGGGAGCCCATGAACTCTTAAAATTTTTCAAAATGGCAACGGGAAATTATCAATACCATATATTGTTTTGGCCCTCACAGATGTATTTAATGAAATAAAAATACTCAAACAATTACTGAATAAAAACAACAAAGTTGGTTAAGATATATTGAGAACTGACTTCATTTCATAACGAAAGTGAAATTGTAAAGGGTCTTTATGTACACCCTGCATGTTTATCCATTATACAATCGAACATGTTCTATCAATTGGATTTCTGCGGGACCAACTACTTATCCTTCTTCTATGCTTTTGCGCCGCTGGCTCCGTATGCATATAATAATGCAAAGATGGTCGGTCGGATGAAACATTAAAGAAATTAATTTATGCTATAGAGTGCAGCAAGACTTCAGAATCACTTTTAGAATGTAGCCTACAATGGAAAATAGGCTTTGATATCAGTCAATGTTTCATTCCTAAAAGCAGTTTGCGATTCGGGGTAAGCCTCTAAAACATCATCATCTCGGTCTTAAGATTGACAGGCACTAATTTTGTTGGACGACAGATTTCTCCAAGTCAAACCACAATTCGTATTAGATTTCTTAACATTGTTTCCGTGAACCGCAACGAAATTTTTTAACAATAAGAAAAATTAAAATTGGAAACGGAGAAAAAAAAAACAGATTGACCATCAGAAACGATAAAGGATCTCAAATAATTTTGCTAACTATTGATTTTATATATAGTTAAGTTATAAATTTGCCTGTGAAACAGAAGAATGTGTATTAACATAAAATACCAAACGGGATGTTCATTAGTCCCTATTAAATTAGGCAAGAGCACTTTGATGTGCTTCATGCAAGTAATGGTGGGCATATATGAAAATGTATTAAATGAAGTAAAAATTGAATAAACACTGATGAATGAAAACAAACCTGGTTGAGATTTTTGAGACCTGAATTTATAAAACAAAATTTTGATTATAACAGGACTCTTGCGTCTGTGTACCAGGTTGAGGTTAGGCAATAATTTTATTTCGATTTTCCTTATTTTAGTTCTATTACGAGTTCGGGGACTGTTTGTGTAAGCCAAATGAATAAACCCCTTGCCCATAGGTTTCCGTCCCTTTACACAACTTGATGTAAAGTAGGCGAACAAAATTAGTTACCTCCATATTGGAATACATACTTCTGGATCGCCGACTCATGTATATTTTAAACATTTATCCCTGCTGATTTATAGGTTTTGTGTTATAGGCTTGTTCAGTTATTCCCACCAACGTGCGGCTATTCATCATACCGTTCAGAACTTCTTACGATTACCTTGTACTTCGTTATATTTGGGGCTAAAACATCACAGCCTTCTATATATATGTATAAATTTTTCAATCTTTTTTTTCTCGTAAGTTTATTTGTTATACCATTATACGGAAATGAAATATTGGCCATGGTGTAAAACTCGTATTATTTTTCATTATATCATGGTTTTAAATTATTTTTATAATTGCACTTCAAATCTTGTAATTTTCTTAATCGCCTTTAAAGTTGTTCCTTTGCCAAATTTTTGTGCGACGTCGCCATATTGTCTTACTAATGAGGACTTAGCTTTGTTGAGTGATTTTTACTCAACAATACCCGTTCAGATTCGCTTGACGTTTAACATATAATGGTGATCTTAAATATAATTTTATCTTTCTTCCAACGATTTGATTTGAGCAAAAATAAAAAGGAAACAAAAACGAAATTCATAGTTTACAATCAAGTATTCGAGGAAGCCCTGCAAAAATAAGATCTAGTTTTTGTTTGGTAATCTCGTATTGTGTGTACCAGGTTAGGGTTAGGCCATAATTTTATTCTGATTTTCCTTATTTAGTTCAATTACGAGTTCGGGGACTGCCTGTGTTATCCAAGTGAATATCTCCCCTGCCCACAAGTTTGAAAATTAGTTACTTCCCTATTGGCATACACACTTCTGGAGCGCCCTTTATTTTAGTCATGTTTATCATACTCTAACAAGAGAAATAAGTACATTTACTGAAAATTCAAGTTCAATTTTAATGCCAATTTTCTACAGTGTAATCTAGGTATAGATAAACGATTGTAATGCATAGGATAGATCCTATCTACACGTTGTGCTAAAATTTTTGTCATAACAAAGATATCAAATGTGACACTGGCCGATAGTAGTCTCATTTTTTTTCGAAATGCTACTAAAAATATTTTTAACTTACCAAAATAATAGAGTAATTTATCAAAGATGAATTAGGTCAGAGCTAGCTCACCAGTTAGTTGATCATTATGTTGCCATATTACTTCGTTTGCTTTTTTAAATATCTAAAACTATATTAAAAACAGCAAGTATAAAATAAAATTCAGGTTATTTTTAATAAAACTCATGGTGTGATATTATTTTTTGAGTTACGAATTTCAAATCAATTATCGTGCCTATGTTTTTTAATTCATTGTTCATTTTAGAACATAATAACCATCCAATAAAGTTAAACACATGAATAGATTATTAAAATTTCTAAATCTGATACGTTTGGAAGTTCATGACTTCTGATATGCTTCGGTTTCGCGGTTTGTCGTCAACATGCCACGTATCGTGTTCGGATCGCGTGTGACTGTAAATCTATAACTGAGGGCGGACTCGGGTCAATTCATGATGTTGCCTTGAATGAGGTCACACCCAGGACGATCCGGGTGTGAGTCAATGCTTCGCGAGAACTATGAGGGGAAAATATAGATCCTATAATCCGCACGATAATATATATATATATATACAGGGTGTCCACAAAGTCTTTAAATTTTTCAAATTGCAAAGGGAATTTATCGATATCATATATGTTTTGGCCCTCACAGATGTATTAAATGAAGTAATAATACTTGAACAATTACTGAATAAAAAACAACAAACCTGGTTAAGATATATTGTGAATTGACTTCATAACAAAATTGAAATTGTAAAGTTATTTTATGGACACCCTGTATGGTACATAGTTTTGTTTCATGAAATGAATAAATAAATCAACGTATTTGCTTTCAGGAACACACAATTTTGCAAATTGATTGGAAATAGTAAAAAAATCACAATTGAAATTTTAAATTGGTTAAAGACTAATATTTATTAATACAAAATAGATTTAATCTCCTAGTATTCATACTAGTTCTACTATTTAATCTGCCTTTCAAAAAATCTCCCTCATTTGATTCATTTCGAATTAGACGTTTTGAGTCTGAGTGAAATATTCATGATTTTCTGACATTGCATTTAAACTCACATAGCAAGTATCTACCCAAATTCGTTACTCAGTCACTCTCATTGTCACTCTTGATCGGACTCATAACTAGCTCGTTTGCGTTCAAGTAAGTGTTTGGGGAATTAGTTTTATTCTAGTTTATAGTTTGAATCAGGGGTGTGCATCTTTTACTACAGTGGGGCCTGGACTAAACTATAGGCTTCGCAGCGCAAAGGTATTGGAATTACTCACACGTACTAGATTAAACTAAATAAAAACCTGTTATGTGTGCCGCACACCATTCAAAATTTGCACTTCTTCGCGGCGCACGATTTTTCCTTGTCGGTCACATTTGGCCGCAGGTTGCACACCTCTGGTTTGAATAAAACTTCATATTTACTCAGTCATGTTCAAGTCCAATTTTCAAACAAAATATATGATTAAAATTAAAAAAAAAAACAGTGCTTTCACCCCGCCCATTCTATGACCTCGAAAAAACAACAATCAAAATAGGTGGCTTTCTTTTAATGCAAAGACCACCCGTGTTAGTAATGATGTGTTTCAAGTTGTTGGTGTAAAATTTCATCTTGTCATTGTTAAGGACACAAGGTTATACTAGAAGTTCGTGACATAACTCTGTGTATCACTCATCATCCTGTTCTCCCACTTGAGATGCTGTCAATAAACGCATTTGATTTCTTGCCAATTTTTTCTTATTTTTTCCGCGTGGAATGAATAACGGATTTTGAATTCTGTAAACCGGCAGTCTCTTACATAGTAGGAGGATAATATTCATATGTAGTTGCAATTTCTATGTCATTCTGTGTTAGATGAACCACTCGATGCAATTTTTATTTTTTGAGAATATATTTTAAATATACCTAATTTATTTAAATATATTCAATCAGTTGATTAAAAAAAACAGAAAAATGAATGTTATTCCACAGTGTATTTGTTCGATGACGGTACGATTTCGTCATCCGTTTTATTTATAGTTATTTATTCACAGTCGCCTCCATAATACATATTGTGCTTATTGATGTGTGACTTTATTGTAAAATTTTATTTTCATAAGTTCTATGGTCTATCCCAAAACACACCCATATTTTGTAACATTATGATTCGTTCATACACTTTTATTAGGTTTTTTTAGGTCATGATTAAAAGTGTGAAAAATTCTACTACAGGCTTATTCTGTACAATTATGCGGCATTTATAAATATTGAAATTATGGTACTCCTGGAGTATGCAAACCAAGATGTCGCACAACCTGAACCCTAACCTGGTAAACAACCTGAGTTCAGGTTGTGCGCCATCTGGGTGCGCATACTTCCAGAGGTCCGAAATTATTTTGCAAAGTTTCTAAAATTTCTAGTTTCCGAGTTAGACCGTAACAGCTAGCGACCGCAAAAGTCTTGATGTTCTAAAATGCGCTACGGAAGCTACGAAAAATTTCTATGTATGATATAGAATTTTTCTTTACAGTTTTAAAGGGGGAGCGGGGTATAATTGATGTTGGTACTTTAGTGATCCCCCGTAACTTTACGCATAGATGAGTTGTTTCCTTCAATACTGAATGAGTGCGCATGGCCTTGCTTTAATCACATTCTCTTATAATCACAATCGAAGTCAACACCTAAATCCCGGCATTGACTTGTTTTGGTCAAATTATATATTGAAATTCTTATTTTTTAATTTAGAAAATAGTAAAATATATCTTCGGCGCCACAATTATTTATATTAACCATTTATAGCGGGCGACGTGACTATTCTCGAGGCAAAAAGCGTTTTACCGGCACAGAATGTAGCAAAAAAGTGGTTTCTCGTTAACCTATTGAACCGAAATTTGTTACATGAGTCGTATAACACGGCTCTGTAATTTTGACGGCTTGAAAGTAATTTAGTTATTTACACTTACACATTTGATATCAGAGCAATATAGATTTCAAGTGGTTGTTCGTAATAAAAATTACGTAAAATTCGCCTAACTCTGAGTAAGAATAAACTTAAGAAGAAGGAGTTGGTTGCAATAAACGAATGTTCAATGTCAAACAACCTGTTTATTAATTTTCAACATTCATGCTGGAGCACATTTATGGAAATGGTTCAGCGTTGTCAAGTAAAAATCCTGCCTTACGTTCTCCATGTCGATATAACTGTAATAAAATGACTAAATAGCAAGCCCGAAAGATTTCAGTCATTCAACACATTCGGATTCTACACTTATCATTAAATACTAAAGTCAGTTTCAGAGCAACCATTGTTCTTAAAAACGTCGCTATTTAGTATATCAACGTACGTTGAAAATTTGCGTAAAGCAACAGGCGATATAAGTTATTGGCGGGATAAAAGAACTGAAGAAATTGACATTTGTAATAAACTAAATTGTGGTAGCTTAGCCTATCATTATTATCTACAAATATGAGGTAATATTCAAAGCCTATTTCTTTGTTGTAGTCCACCTATCTGTCGATGCTCCTTTTGAACTTATAAGATTCATATAAACGTCACTTGTCTAAATTCAATCGTACGTTTAAAATTTTAAAACTGACGGAACGGAGAAATAGTTTTTTTTTAATATGCTGGTTAGTGGTGGCTTAGCTTAAAAACATTGTTTACTAATATTGGTTATTACATGAGGGCCCTCCCGTGTTGATCAAAAATCGGAGATCACAATTTGTTAGTCTTTAGCTAAGCTTTGGGATTTGAGGTATGAGGATTCATAAACTTGATGAATTGCAGAATGCCTGTTTATAAATTGATTTCTAACAAACAATAACTACAAAGGTTTTATTAGTTGTGCTTGTTTTTCGTTCCACCCTCACGTTTATCCGTGCAGATCATTTTGGCACCATATTGTCGAGTAGACGATAAACAAACTCGTTCGCGTGAATTTTGAGGATTAAGATGGTTTTCTCCCATCCACTCCGATATATTGCGTTTCGTTTTATAGTTTATTATGGAATATACACTTAGTTTATTCAGCTGAAATTACCTCAAAAACGCTCAATAAAAACATTCTTTTAATCTTGCTTTATTAAAACTTTAACACATAATTATACAAGGCAGAATGTAAATTTGATATGTGCAAGGCCGATTTACCGTTGGTTTAAATATGGATAATCTTGGCCGTGTGTAATATTTGAAATGGGTCCAAAATCGCATTGTAATACTTGACATGACCTCTTGCTGTCATAGATTATACCGCTGCTCCGCAAGTTGTCAGTCAATCGTTGAATATAGATATACTTACAATAGTGATGCGGTAGGTGGCCTACTTTACGATGGAATAATGACGAGGTTTCAACGTGTGTGGCCTACAACGAGCATTCTGGTGGTATGTTCCGGTCTTGTAATACCTCGTATGAGTATCTTGTGAATTTTTTTTATTTATATTTTTTTAATAAATATTTATTGATTGGTTCGTGTTTTGGTGAGATTAATACTTTGTTATTGGAAATATTGGATTTTTTTCTCAAAACTAAGAGAAACTCTTTCTTCGGAATTGGAATTTTTTACATGTAACTGAAAACATAGAAAACTCGTTTGAAGTATCTCGTTTTGAAAATCTTCATTAGTGGCCCGGGGAGACTTCTTCCCCATAAAAAACTCCATAAAAATAGGATTGCGACTTGCGCACAGCACTATTTACGTATCCATAAATAAAGTACGTTTTATGCATCGCGAGGTGGAGATAAAGATTTCTAAAATAGGAGAAAACGCAATTCAACGAAAAAGATTGGGAACCACTGAGTTAGGGTATTTTAACCCAGTAACTGAAGGAACGAAATAAATTTTGAAACCCCCGAATATCTTCATCCTCACATCACGTGAGTTATTCCTCCTGCAAAACTCGTTAATCTGCGCATTACGTAAGGTATAATTAGATAGAGTGTTGTAAAGTTGATCACCCAGCGATTATTCAGAGTGGTTTGACTCCACGCCAGGTGCTTCGAGCCATTTATCAATATTGAGCAACCTATGACATAAACACTTGAGTTTAATCACCCAAAGCAGTTATGAACCCCAACGTCGATGATCATATTAAAATAGTGTGAGAAAATATAATTTAAAAATTGTTTTTAAAAGTTTGATCGGTCTTGTAGTTGTTGAGAAAAGCAACAAGAAAAACAACTTTGCAAAACGATCCATGAGTCCATTATGTGTCCAATAATTAATATACTACTACCAAATTCTACATCTTGAATGCTACAAAATGTACAAAAAGCTACAAAATTTAGATTTTTTCGTATATTTCACCGTTCACCAATAAACTTTACATACATCATAGTCAAGTGCGATTTTTTGTTCAGTCTTGGAAGTCTTCTTCTTTCATCTGAAGTACTGAATCGCTAAATAAATTAAAGATTGGAATATATAGGGTGTCCATTAGTCTTATATTTTTTTTTAAATTGCAAGGGGAATTAATCGATACCATATATTATTTTGGCCCTAACAGATGTATGAAATGAAATAAAAATACTTGAACAAATTCGGATTAAAAAACAACAAACCTGCTCGAGATATATTGAGAACTGACTTCATAACAAAATTGAAATTGTAAAGGGACTTTGGGGACTGTATAATCCTGAACTAACTCTTATGCTCTTTATCCCGTGTCCCATTATTTTTGTATCAAATTTATATTCAGGTCTCACGGTCTCCAAACTCTGATCCAATTGATGGGTCCAACAAACATGTTTGATTGGCACAAAAACACGATCAAGGTGCAAAATATAAAGTGGGATCTGGATAAGGCAACGAACGTTTTAACATTGTGGCAAAGAAAATTTGTAGAGGTATGCTTGTATAAACTTATTGTTGCTGTTTATTTTTAATAACCGAAAATATGGCTTGCGAAACGGATACTAGGTCTTTTACCTTAAACTCAAGCAGCTAAATTAGATAGTCACTGATCGTAGCAACACTTAAACGAACAATCGTACAAAGTTGAGCCACACAGATTCAAGTATAAATAAACTTCCTTCATAAAAAAAATCGTTTTAATACGTTGGTGTTTATCTGTACGAAATAAACACTGTGAAACCTTTTCTGGTGTTTATTTGGACTTTAAAACGGAAAATAACAGTTATTGCTAGTTAAATCTTTGTAATCACACAAAATTTATTTTGTTTGATGTTATATTATAGACGCGTTTACCATTTATGTTTACTCTTAGTTTCTGCCGTCTGTACAACCATATCGCATTGACCGGTAATCTTGTCATTGTCAGTATTAGTAAGCTCTCAGATAAAGCACTTTCCTTTTGCAAGTTATACTATACACACGGATAAAATACGTGTTCCTATTTTCAGGAAATGTACAAAGTAAAAGTGAACGCTTCATCTTTCCATTCAAATCCTGATGAAATTCATGCTTTCGCTCCTTCAACTGCTGAGGATTTAATTTTGGAATTTTCAAACTTTAGTTATCTCAGAGTTGCAGCTGGTTATTTTCTTATGGTAAGAATCATATATCGATAGCGTTCAACATAGGTTGGTTCTTTATGGTAATTTTATACACAACAAAATCCTGACTTTAATTGGAAAATTGACTTAAATAGCGGTCGGAATGCGGCTAGAGGATCTGTTTGATCAATTTGCTAAAATAACTTTGGAAAACTTATTTCGATTCTGAATATTTCATAAAAATATTTTTCCCGAATATAATGAATTTCGATTATTTTCCTCGATCTCAATTCTTTGTACACACAGTACTTAGGTGTTTTCCTTTGCCTGCTATTTACCAATTTCCAACATTTTAATTCAGTTTATATTAGTCAAATTTATCCATTTATGCCCCAAAATTGCGCGTAAATTTTTGCATTCAAGTTTAAGACTAAATCATTATTTTCAATAGACTAATCAACACTTTCCATCTGAATATACCGACTCTGAAAATACGAAATGCTTCGTAAAGTGGAATGGGGACAGTTTTATATTACGAATAAACGTATGCCTCAGAATGACGCCCCAAACAAGCGTCCACTACATACATAACGACATGCCATCAGCAAATAATTCTGGGAGAACCGTAGTTTATCTTGGTCAGCATTGCCTACACAATTTGTTAAAATCCCGGGCATGGTTAAACCGCAGGGCTGTCACTCCATATTAGATAAAATTGAACTGCTATCCATTATCTGGAGGCGAGATAAAATCATGTCCTAACCCTAACCTGGTACACATACTACGTTCCGGTGTTCGCCATCTTGGTGCACATAATACGGGAACGCCAAGACGTCCCCAGCATTCACACAATAATGACTTATTATTGATGATATATTTTCAATCAAATTCAATCACTTTTCATACTTCCAGCTTGTTTATGCTTGTTTTACTATGCTACGTTGCAAAGCTTCACGCTCTCAAGGTGCTGTTGGAATTATCGGTGTATTACTTGTTGCTTTGTCTGTCATGGCAGGTCTTGGAATTTGCTCAGTTATTGGAATCAAATTTAACGCCGCAACTACTCAGGTATAGCGATGATAATTTTGTATTAAAAATGTTTGTTTAGCTATGGTGTCATTTTTTAATTTAAGTGGTTATGACGTCATAATATGGTGTGACCTTCAACGAAACAATTCAACATGTCGTCTATTCCATTTTATCCAATTCAAAAGTCCTGTACATTAACACTAATGTATTCCTGTAACGTTTTGTCCGACCAAACTTAACCTCATACTATTCAGAATTTTACTCTAAAATAGACAGTCAGTCACTGGTTTTCAGGGAGTTACAGAACTTTTTGTATGGTCGAAATTTGATTGAATTTTTCTTACTATATATGCATATATTCAACTAAGAATCATGCGATAAGTTTTAATCCGGAATATATACATACATACAAGTACACGTGCTTGCTTGTCCAGACCCTTTTTGGAAGCGAATTCGTCAAAACATCCCATGAAAACCAACCAAAGACTTATATACTTATTTTTAAATTAAAGGTTCTTTCGTCCTGAAAAATATTCTTTGCATGAAATATTGTAATGATTTATGATTTTATTGCTATTCAGACAGTTTAAATCTTCATCAATTATAGCTAACTTAACCATTCAGACACCTTCATTGCTGCACACATGCATAGTAATGATGAATCGGATTTTTCACTGACGTTTAATATTTAACGGTAGATTAGTCACTGCATACATAATTCAAAAAACGTAAAAATACTTTTGGCGGCCATTTGTGGAATTTTCCAAACACGAGATGAGCATTGCATACTAGAGAATATTTTGTTGTATTAAAGAAACTACTGCTCGATAACCGGTACTGGTTTTATGCGCCTCTATTGACACTGAAATGCCGTTTGTACGTTTTTTCTGTGTATGTTAATACAAAGTGTATTTCTACAAGTGTACAATAATAATGTACAATAATGTACTATAATGATTTATAGTTTCATTAATTCTTAACAACTATTTTGTAGTAACTTCGCTCAGAGATGAATCTCGTTATTCCTGAGTGAATGCGCTGAGTGTGCGTTACCTTGCTTTGAGAAAATTTCTCAAAAAATACTGTTCGATTTATCTTAAAACTAATAGCATTTCGAAATTTTCGTATTTTTCAGGTTTTACCATTTCTTATGCTTGGACTTGGTGTGGATGACATGTTCCTAATCGCTCATCAATTTGGAGAAATTGCTTGTCTGAATTATATTCCCTTCGAGGTAAATTATTGTAATTATTTTTGATAGTGCATTATCTTAACGACACCGACATTGCATATTCAATATCTGATATTACAGCGCCATGTTCACTACCTAGGGTGTAGTAACTTTGACAGTCATTTTAAAACTTGACATGACAACGATTATTAGTAACTGTTTGCTTGTATTGCGCCTGTTTGAAGTGATACAGTATCCAGGAAATGCTCAAAACAATAGTTAAATTCAACTATTTATGTATGAGGAAATATGAAATTGTTTTTATTTGCATTTCGTGAAATAGAAATTATAATCAGCCACAGAAAATATGATAACAGACAAGATCTCACCCCTCCCCAACAAAATTTAGTCCTGAATTAGCTGTTATATAACGAAATCGACTGAAATTCTGGCAAACATTCTAATTAATAATTTTAAGGGTGCGCTAATCGATAACCATGATTGGTTTTCCGCGCCCCCTTTCATCCAGAAATGCGTTTTTTTTTTATAATTTATTGCAATACGTCTAGTGCGTATTTTTAGCATGGTGAATAATAAACTACCGGTCACTGATCAGACGTTATATGACATAATCGATTTGAATAATTTAAAATTTTCAATTTTTTTCACATTTTTGTTTTATAGGAACGAACCGGTGAATGCATGAAGCGTGTTGGTGTCAGCGTCTTGTTAACCTCAATCGCCATTTTATCCGGATTTTTATTTTCTATGATTATACCTATGCCCGCACTTCAGTCGTTCGCGCTACAAGTAAGATATGTAATTAAATGCACATAATATACATAATGTACAAAAATCAGTAGTTTTATTACTTGATTCACAAATAATAGTTCAATAGTATCGCAATAATACAGGTTCACAGTGTCTTCTAGCGGAAAATTTTATTTTTGTTTGATAAGTGTGGCTTTCGATATTTTAATCACTTTAAAATATTAGTTTATTTTGATGTATTTTGATAAATGTTTTCAACTATAGAAAAATTATCAACTATTTTTTATTTCGTAAAAAAAATGAAAATAAAATATATCAGTAATCAAGAGTATTAATTAAATTAAACCACGTTATATATCCCAATTCATTTTATTCTTTCATGAGGTAATAATGTCCAATTATAATTAGTTTTGTTGGATGGATTTTTCGTCGCTTCAAGGTTGGTGGGACTAAAATAGCTTTCTTTCTCAATATTTGTTGTCTCAACGGTCTTCGAATATTTTGTTTAATTTTATCAATACAAATTTTTGTATCATTTTTTCTACGCAGGCAGCCATCATTACATGCTTCAATTTATTTTGTGTTCTATTCGTATTCCCGGCTGCGTTAAGTGTTGATTTATTACGAAGAAAGAAAAACATGCTGGACATATTCTGTTGCTTCAAAAGGTAGAATCTTACAGTTCCACAATTTGTTTATATCACAAACAAAATTCTGCCTGTTACGCTTGGGTGGAAGTTTCAGTTCTATTTTTAATACTCCCGAAGTATGTGAACCAAGATGGCGGACACACGGTCACTAACCTGGTACACATACTACGTTCCGATGTTCGACATTTCACATACTTCGGGAATACCCTATTTTTTTTTACATGTGCTGCTTGTCTACCCCCTATTACGGAGTGAAGGTGGTAAAACATGAACAATGTTCAGTTAAGAAAATTGATCAAATTAGATCATTATTCCGCTTAGGAAAAGTACTTAAAATGGCGGGTCTTAAGCATTGACTATCCAGAAAACTTGATGTTAAACGGTTAACCTATATGATTGAAATTGTAAGACTTAAAAATTGAATTAATTCAGTTTTTCGTAGAATTCACTCCTCAACCAGTTATCAATGTATTGGACACGACACCGAACTATTTTGATAAATTATTGTCGTTGTTCATGTTGTTTTTGTTGTAACCAAGTTCATTTATCTTCATCATGCGTTTCGTATCACTGTTCCGAATGATTCAAATTTCCAGTAGTTGAGGATGGTAGAGTCTTTATGAATCTTATAACTCCATATTTTCTCTGGACTACCCATATACGGATTATTATTTTTTGTACATCCTCAAGGACTTTTTCTCGAGAAAACGCAATCCACTAGTTCTACAAGAAAAGTTTTTCATTGTTTTCTCGTACATAAGACGACGCACAAAATTCTATTTTAAAATTAGTTCATCTTTTTATGAAAAACAGTTCAAGTGCAAACGATGTCATCGAGTTATCCGATTTCAATCACGAAGTAGCAGCTCAATCTCCGCCATCTTGTAATACATCCGGATCACTCCCACCACGACCACAACCGGTTCCGGTTGCTCATTTCACCACATTACCAGCTGGACCTCAACATCCTGATATGGACTCAGAAGCAACGATCACCATGCATCACACCATACAGGTATATAATGTTTAATACAGCAGGGTGACCCAAAAACGAAACCCATAAATTTCTTAATAACTTTTACAAAAGTAGAGTAAACTATTTAATTTTGTTCATTCTAAAATTTCCCAAAATCACCTACTCGGCGTTAAACTTGCAACATTGCGAAAAATCGTTAACCTTTCGCACACACTCCTCTATGTGGATTTCTCTGAATTTTGGGTTCTATTTTGGGAGGGTCACCGTTCATAGAGATACGAATAATACTAAGAATCTGGGATATTGGATTCGGGTGTTTTACACTAAATAACTCACTCTGGTAAACAATATTCGGTACTCCCGAAGTATCAAGATGGCGGACACCGGAACGTCCCGAACTCAGAATATAACTAAATAAGTAAAATTAGAATGAAGTTACGGCCTAACCCCAACCTGGTACACATACTACGTTCCGGTGTCCGCCATCTTGGTTCACATACTTCGGGAGTACTCAATATTCTAATTGTACAAACCCTCCTAACATCGAACACCATACCCATCCTCCCACACACAATCATAACGCACAAAAGTATTGTGTAACTTGTGATAATTTCAAAAATTTTCAATCATTCCATGCGTGTCAGTGACCGATTGACCGATCTCTTCATTTTTACGTTTCCACGTCCACGTGCTCGTAATATGGATATAGATAGGCAGCGCAAAAGTGTGAGACATCTATTAAAGTGCGACGCCTCTAATAATGTAAAATGTATTATCAATGTTTTATATATTCGCAGGCTTATTCAAATGAATCGTTTGTTACATTCCTGGGTCCTGCTGCCGAAACCACCATCAGTTCTACAAACCCTCAAGCGAACGGGGCTGAGACATCTCAGGTACCCCAGTATTATCCACCAATGACCCCACCACCGAAATATACCCCAGAAGGAAACCCACAGATCACGGTAACCCCCGATAACTCGACTTTGCCAAAAACTGCTTTCGAAGATCAGAGTGAATCCAATGGAGTGCAAGTTACAACAGTAAGTTTAAGCATTGAATTTTACCCTGTAACGAGTCGTCTACGCAAAGTAATAAGATCAGATCAAGGCCATTTTGATTCATGTTATGGTAATTCTTGCCTTCCAGTGCACTCGCTAACAAAAAGCAGCAGTTTGGAGCACTATAATTTGTTTGATCAACCAGTTGTTTTTCTACGCAACTGGCGGACCAATCAATTTCCCGTACTTGAAGATGATCGAAGTCGCGAGATATCTTACCCAAAATTTTGCCGTTTCATTGTAATTCTTGAAAAAACTTTTATAAAACACACGGGGACACATTTTCTTATGCCGTTTGACTTTCATGTTGATATATCTGAGCAATATTTTTATCAAATAGTATAGTCATCTTTATTCTTGCCACAGCATCCTTACGTTACACGCATACGGATCCACTTCCACAAAGGCATATTAAATCAAGGAAATGTAGTTTTGTTAGTCTTTCATAATCTCAATTGATAGTTATGTAATAATTAATTAGCATTTTATGTGTTGTGTGTTATGTGTTTCGGATAACTTGAAACATCATTTTACAGACATCTTCAAATCCGAAACCTAACGTTATTCACACTCGTTCAAACCCTTCAAAATCCAAGCTCACCCCTTTCACGACAGCTGCTTCGTCCAATCTTGTGACACCCATGGTCAGTGTGAGGAGTTCAACACATAGTCTCGTTCCCACTGCACGCAGTAAAGCATCAAAATGGTTCTGTTGGTCGAGTAACAAGCAGAAATCAAGACGAGAATCCGAATATACTGGTTGTTTTCCATTCGTTACCGTCTCAGAATTTGCAAAGAAATATTACGGACCTTTTCTTATAAAGACACCGGTTCGCGTGAGTTCCTTACATCTATTCTAGTTATTCACAAACTATATCAAACGTTAGTTGAATCATAATATATTTATCAATATGTTTACCAGAATTACGAAACTGTTGTTTCCAAGCTATTACCACTTACTTACATAACTCATCTTGCAATTATGGAATTTCAATCCGAAAATTGATAGCAAACGTTATTAAGCAATACACAAATAAATAAAAAAAGACGTTTTTGAATACAAAGTGCTAAATTGTTGTTATTAAGTTGAGACTGTAAAACATTTTTTCTGACCTATTTGGGGGGGAGCTAACTTAGATGACCGTGTGATCGTATCGCTTCCTCTAGTCTTCACCAAAAAACATTGTGTCTCTTTATTGTATATGTGTTTCAATTTTTTTTTTATGTGACAAATCAATAAATCTATCTGTCCACTTATGGACCTATTGGTTTTAAACTTTCAGTATTTAAAAATGGAAGAAACCGCTAGAAAGATAATCCTTTTTTTCAAATCTTACGGTACAATTTACCTTTAACATTTTGCTACATTATGCTGACATTGTGGTTACCATAGTACTTCTATAGGGCATCGGTGATAAGCGGAGTATTCAAGTTTATTTGGATTCCATTGTTATGTTCGTTTTATTGGTTTCAGATATTTATTCTCACACTGTGTGGTCTAATACTGGGGGGTTCCATATACGGGTGTTTGCAAGTTCGAGATGGTTTGGAATTGGTTGATATTTTACCACGAGATACAAGAGAACACGACGCATTGTCTGCACAACTCGAATATTTCTCGTTTTATAACATGTTGATTGTAACGAAAGGTTTGTGGCCTGTTTTTTACTTTAAATTTATTGATATAAAAATGTTGAGTATCAAAATGGAATTATTATTCGTAAGCTAAATCAGGATTCTTGGTTAATAGGAATAGAAATAAATGAGACGTATTTTGATCGAGGTAGCTTAGACCAGGACTACTCAACTATTTTCAACAAAGGTCCGTTTAGAAAACTTCAAAATTACTGGGATTCGGAAAATTCGAATTCGAAATTGTCCGGATTCGGACCGCGGTCCGCCAGTTGAGTAGCCCTGGCTTAGACAATGGGTGCAACAACCACAGCCCAACTTTGTAGACTTTTACGTCCGACTGATGATGGTTTGAGACACGGCTTAGACAAGACTCTTCTGATAGTTCAAATATAGTCCAAAACTGAGCGATCCGGTTAGTCCTTTTTAATTTCTATTCCATGCTCGGTAATTAACAAGACTGGAAAAATATAGTAGTCAGTCATTTAATCCAACTTAAACCTATAGCGAAGAAATACTCATATATTAATATCCACAATCTATGATCTTGAATTTGCGTGATGATGTCTCATTTTAGAGGTCATATGATTCATCAAAATATCTTGAAAGATAATCGCTTACGCAGGAAATAAGTTTTCGATTGTCACAATGTTTATAATGTCAGGTTATATCGTATGATCTTGTTTGTGCGAAATGTAAAATGGCGACAAAAAATAAATAAAATATTTAAACGTGGAGAAACGTTTTATTACTTTATTGTACTTTTTTCATTGATTATCTCTGTCCCCTACATTTATCTGGAAATATGAAAAACAGTGAACTGTGAAATGAAACAGAAAAAAAAAATGAATTATCTGTTATGTTGTGGGCGGGTTAAGCCCAGGCATAAATTTCAAAAGCTTGAGCAAAATAATCATTCAACTCTGTAATCTTTATTTTATTCGACTAAGGGACTTTTGAGCGATTTTTTTTCTACAAAGTGTAATAACGTAGAAATACAGTGTGTACGAAAATACCATACACACTCATATCTAAACTTTACCTTCTGATGTACTGTGGATATATTTATTGCTTCGGTACAATTTCCCAGTACATCGTTTTATCTCAGTGGCTGATAAAAGCGTGTATACCTGAATGAGTTTGTTTATTATTTAACAAATTGTTTTCCAGACATCGACTACGCTCACAAACAACGTGAGCTTCATGAATTGCATCATAACATCAGCCAACTAAAGCATGTCGTCAGAAATACAGACGGAACAAAAACTAAATTTTGGCTTGAATATATGAGAGAATGGTTGTCAAGTATGTCATATTACTGTACTAGAATACATATGACAATCGATGAGATATGAAAATGGGTTATTTTAGCACACCCAGTCCACTTGTACCACACTCCACACTTGTAAACATTTGTTCTACAGTCTACACGTATTGTATTACCCACTTCTTATGCTCCCTGTAACAATTTGACTGAATTTTTTTTTACTTTCGAACATAGTGGGACATGTGTAGTACAAGTGTTACTCGTATTTTGGGACATACCTATACATGTTTAGAAGGATTAAAATATTCCCGATTTGTAGAGCCACCCTGAAGTTGTATTCCGTGGGCTATGAATTCAATATATTATCTTTGATTACAAGATGGTCAACTGAATGGAGGTGAACATTCAGACGCCTTTACGATAAGAATTCTCCCATACCTTAGCATGGTCCGAAACGTTACGTCAAATCTATACATCATTCGCGTCCGTTACACATGATCTTTTTAATGATCGTTTTTGTTTCCTCGAATATCCAGATTTACAAGAATCCTTCGACAAAGACTGGTCTCTTGGTTACATCAATGAAACAACGTGGAAACCACACGCATCAGACGAAGGAGTTCTTGCGTTCAAACTTCTCCTACAAACCGGAAAACTTGAGGAAACAACCGATTTTGGAAGAATTGGATGCGAACCCCCCAACAATAAACCTTGCCAAAAGGTAAAAGTAGATTATTTTTAGGAAGTGTTTCATAACTTAACTGCAAACAAGTCTATGTGTAGGAAGACACTTATACATATTTGTAGCTCCTAGAAAATAAACAATCCTCTAGATTCGAATTCTGCAAGTTTCAGCAGTGATATTCCAGTGGGCGTCTGTTACTTTGCTCAGAGACCAGTCTCTTAATGAGTGTTCGTGGCGTTAGTGTAATAATAGGTTTAGTCTATAACATGTCTTGAAATTTTTCTTCTCTTGCGTTACCGATTTTGGTAACTTTACATATTTTAAGACTTCTTTTTTACTATTCATTTGTTTTTAAACTTGCTTAGGTTGCCTGATATGTTCTATTACCATGTTCGATTGTATATCAGAATCAGAACACTTTCATCCAAAAGGCCCATAATCACATGCGCAATCGTTCCAAACTCACTTTACCATTCCCAAGAGCAGTGATCATGTATTTTTTCTATCAAACAACAAAATTATATTTTAATATGTTTTTGGAAACGACGAAAAATCATATTTCAACCCAAAGACATCTGGGCTATTCAAGAATCCATATCAATAACCGACTTTTTTATTTTACAGGTCAACATTGTTAGGCTTGTATCTGACGACGGTATAATACGAGAAGATGCATTTTACAATTACTTAACTGCATGGACACAGCTAGATCCATTAGCATACATCGCATCTCTCGCTGAAATGGTTCCTAATCCTTTAACATGGACGAATGAACGAGGAGGAAATTTAATCATACCGAGATCAAGAGCCGTCACATACGCTCAAATGCCTTACTTTTTGAATGGTGAGTATTACAAATTACTTGTGTATTTCTGAGCATGATGAGGACCTGTGAATCGTTTTGTTAAATTGCGTTCTTGTGAAAACATGTCCGTTCTACGCAATGAATGGACCAACAGATTTCAAATTTTCAAAACTTGAAATTTGAGAACGCATCGTGATGGTATTACTGAGTCATACGGGCTCGATATTTCACCCAAACTTTTTCAGTTTATTTTAATACTTGGAAACACTTTTATATGACTTTAGTAGGAACTGTTTCAACTGACCTTTGACTTTTAAAATTCGTGGCAATAAATTGCAGTATTGCGCTCTAGTAATTACTTATAATAGAGGCAGTGGTGAAAGGAGTGAAAATTTGTGTGCTTGCAAAGTTGGCAAAGAATTATGAAGCATCGTGTCAAAGTCTGATTCGAATTGTTGAATTGGCTTTCTAGAATGATGATTGGGGTTAAAAATTTTCAAACTCTGATTTTGAATGTTACAATTTAAAGCCATCAGGATCAGGCAAAGTTACCAGCTGAAACATAATGAACATTGGTAAAGTCGAGGTTTTGTATTGATTAATTTATTAAATTTTACATTAATTCGTTACATTTTGCAACAGGCCTTCAAGAAAATGACGATTTTGTTGAAGTCATCATATCAGTTCGAGCATTGTGTGATCATTACGAAGCTGAAGGAGTCGAAAGTTATCCTACCGGATACCCGTTCCTTTTCTGGCAACAATATATTGATCTGAGGGAATGGTTATTCATAGCGATGGGAACTGCAATACTAGCAATATCAAGTGTAGTGGCGATTGTACTTTTAAATCCGTGGGCGGCTGGAATAACGGTGTGTAACATTGGTTAATGGATTATTTGAACGAATTTAAGTTTTTCACTCACATTCATTAGTTTTTCACTCATATATCGACGGAAATAAATTGTTATTTAAAAAAATGTGGTGTAATTACCCGATTAATCGTAAATTCGTAAGATAATAAAAAATGTCGACAACGTGCACCCCTGCTTCATATACCAATTTTTCATTTTTTATTCCAGTGTCTATTTTTGATCACGATAACAACAGAATTGCTTGGATTTATGGGAATTGCTGGAATAAAACTGAGTGCGGTACCTGCTGTTATATTGGTTGCTGCTATAGGACTCGGCGTCGAGTTCACTGTACATATAACATTGGCGTTTATTACATCATGCGGCTCAAGGTATGATCATTTGTATAAGAATATACAAAGCCGATGACGTCATAATTCGATGACGTCAGTATGCCGTTGAATAAAAAAGAATCTAATTCTTTCCTGCTCTGCATCGCCTACTCAATTTCATACGGCAACATAGTTAGTTTTGGTCCATAGCCATGAACAATTACTTTAAAATTTAATAGATTCAAAACAAAATATTTAAAATTTCAATTTACTCCGAAGAGGTTTACGTACAGACATGAAACACTGCCGTTGTTTAACTATCATAGAGTGTACTATGTCATTAATTAGGCGTCGACGATTCTCATGTAGTCATAATATTTCATAATTACAAAACTATTATTTGTTATATCTACAGGGTGACATACGTTCATGTTTCCATAACATTCCATGTCATTTTGTAATCAACGAATGCCTCTCTTTCTCCATGACGACGATTTTCTATCATTGGTCATTAACTCAGTTTCGTATTCAAGCATAAAATGGCATTTATTTATTCGTTTTTCCTATAAACAGGGAAGATAGATCGAAAGCAGCTATAACACATATGATGGGTCCAGTAATCGATGGCGCTATTTCCACTTTTCTTGGTGTTGTGATGTTATCTGGTTCCGAATTTGATTTTATTGTCAGGTATGTTTTGTTTTTTAAATTTGATCGATATTTGGAATTTCTTCCAGAACTAGACTCTGACCAAAAAGCCATTTATACCAGAACACTATAGATATTTTTGTATATCGTGTATATTTTTCAGTTTTAAAAAGCATTAAAAAAAATTCGTGACGTCATAAAATGGTGTTACGTCATACGTCTTTGAACATATGCCTTGAGAATCAACAATATCAGCAACGACAAACATCGTTATATTTCAATTATTTGTTTTAGATATTTCTTCCAAGTGTTAGCAGTTCTTGTTTTGATTGGTCTATGGAACGGAATAGTGGTACTTCCGGTTGTACTTTCGTTCATTGGTCCACCGCCGGAAGTTGTACCACTCGGAGGCGGAAGTAGATTGAAGACGCCGACCCCGCCCCCTACTCCAGCAATTGAAGAAAATGATCGAGTTTGTCGGCATAATTGTAACAATAGCAATCATACACCAAGGTAATTTGCCTTGCTGTAACGTTGTTCAGAATTTACAAAATGCTCTCGAAGAAAGTTGTGTAATTTTCCTAGATAGCGAATTTATCGAATATCATAGCGATTGAGAATAGTAACCGTGACCTCACGGTGAATTCCTTAGTGTGGCCCTTACAAAATAATTTTGCGTACAGCTGCTATAGCGTCAATAGATAATTGCCTAATTTGGATTATTACAAGGTAATATTTTACCAACAACACGCCGCGATCAATATACACGATCCAAGTCGAGGCCATGCTTGGTCCAAACATAACATCTCAAACAAAGATACTTGGCCAATGATTTAAAATTAAATTACTGATAAATGGTAGCAATATTTCTGATTTTTCACACTAATCATTTTTTTTGTATAACAGGTATCATCGCCATACCAACGATTGCTGTGGACATTGCACATCACGTGATGATTCATCTTACATGCAGAGACGGGGTTACGGATACCAAGACCCATATTTTCACCCATCATATTGTCATACACCCACAACACATCGCTATCCCCATCATCGACCAGCATTTTACCCGGACCCCAGATTCCAGTATCAGATTAACCCTGGATACTGTCACCCCCATTCTTTGGGTACGTCTGGGTCAAGCACACCCAGAGCAACTTTGGATGATGGGCGTGTCCTTATTTATCCAGATTTTGTTGTTTATTCGTCAAATCCTAACTCGACCAATCACGCACACCTTCATCACTGTGACGTAAGTAAATTATAGTTTGCTTTCTATAAATTGTGATTTGGATATTTATTTATAGTTGGACTCTTTTAGTATGAGAGAAAATGTAAGAAAATACATATTATGTGCACGAATGCTCAACGTACGATATTTTTGTTTGAATTTACTACTCAATTGAGTATACAATCATTTATATATGTTCGTAAGATGGAGCGTTTTACATAACTATGGGCTCAAGTCTAAAGTCAGCCATCTCATCCGTGGTGTGATGAATTGGACAGGCAATGCCGAGCGTAAAGAATTCGATTATTTTAATATTTATAATCTGCGTGTACATAGCCTTGTTTGGAGTGGAAACCTCACATAAAAAAACTTATATTTTTTTATGCCCAATTATTCCATTTTCAAGTTTCTTGTTTCATTTTACAGTCTCCGGTGCGTGTTTCGAGAAATCAAGATCAAATCGTTCACCAAGGCACTATGGATAACAATAAACCAAATGCCAGTTCAAATAAAGATCAAGCTACTTCCTCAAATGACATGGGACAACATATTGCGACGTTAACATCCTCAGTTACCGTAAAAGTTCGACCAGCCAGGCGCCAGGTAACAAAGACATCTTACTCTATTTTCGACCCGTTTTCACTACGTGCAAGACTCCATAGCCTAGTTTTGTTGTTTTTTACTACATAGTTGGGTTAGCCCATATGCTAGAACAGTATTAGATTTTAGTTCCACATAAAGTGAGGGAAGCCGATGAAAAGGCCTAATTATCTGGCGAATCTAATCTAGGAATCTTGTTCTATTATCGCTACAAAGACTACAACCCCTTGTTCGGCCTGTACAGTTATTCTTTGATACAAATATCATATTTCAAACACAGTTGCCTGTTTTTTTGGAGCATTATTCGCAGCAAATGCACTGAATAGCTTATTAAAGGTAGATAGTTCATCACAAATTTAACCTTACTTTAACATTGTATAACTTTTACCCTGCGATAGTAAGTTGAATTTTGGGTACTTCCGTGGTGTGTGTACTAGGTAGGTTAGGGTTAGGTCATAATTTTATTTCGATTTTTCTTAATTTAGTCCTATTACGAGTTCGGGGACTGTCTGTGTTAGCCAAGTGAATATACCTCCTGCCGATAGGTTTCAGTCCCTTTACACAACTTATGTAAAGTAGGCGAACACACACTACGGGAATACCGAATTTCCTACACTCTGAAATGATTGTCTTAGGTTAATTTTAAGAATAGACTTTCAAAGGGACGAATTTGTTTAGACGAGTCAAAAATGATAAATCCGGAATGCGGGTTTTGCAAATTATAAATCCGGAATTATCCGGTTGTGATGATGTTCAAAATTATAATAATATCCTCTTTTTGTTTCAGCATTGCCCTGTATATCTACCACCTTCTTCATATCAGAACAATCATTCCTCGACCGAATCGTCAACAATGGAGACAAATTTCCAACCGATAACCGATCAAAAATCGATTGATCCGGATCGGATTTCGTCTAATCGATTTCCTCCGGATGCATTTTCAAAACCGGTACCCCTAAATCCGGCTGATGAACGCTCTAACAACTTTTCGAATAATTCCGAATTTCGAAATGTTGTACTTTCCGAAACATCGCGAAATTCACCGAATGTGGACGAAGCTTCGGAAGCCGTAGATACTGCGTTTCAAAGGTTGGGAAATCATGACGTAAACGGTTAATTACGTCATCAATTTTAATATGTTTTTATATATGTTTATCTATTATATTCGGGTATTTTCATTTTCGAAAATTTTCTTCAAAAAAATAAAACAATAAGCCTCATAGCGAATGAGTATTTATGCTTTATATATTTTGTCGAACAAATACGGTAAGCAAAATTGTTACGTCACAATTATATCCAGCATTGTCACGAATAAGCCTGCTTTAAAATATTTTGAATGAGTGTGTTTTAACTATGTTATGAAAGTAACCAGTTACCAGTGAATTTAATTTGTTAAAACTTGATAACAGCACCAGGTTTGATGGATTCCTGCCATCGCAGGGTAGTTCACATAACTGCTGGTCGGTTACGGCTTGCTCCACTTTACAATACAATACACCTAGAACAAATCACTGGCTAACTAATCCCATACCCGACATGGACTGGTAACCACATATTGTGATTAGCGGCTTTGATGCCTTATGTTTCCCATTCTTTCCCAGATTGCATGGATTTTGTGACATTTGGTCGACAATTAAAATCCCAAACACACATTTGTTCAAAAATTATTTTTCAACTATTCTAGTCTGCGCTAATTAAAAATTTCAGTGAATTTACTGATATTTTGTAGTCACAATACAATTTATGATTCGTTAGTGTGTTGTCACTCATGCTTATTCATTTCGAAGAATTTGTAAAATATTTGTTTACGTATTTTACAATTTAATGTCAAATGCCAGAAAATTTTTTGTATTTTTCAATGCTTTTCATCATTTTGTATTCTATTGTATTTTTATTTCTTCAACGTTTTTCTTTCGCAAAATAGTTTTTTCGTTGATTCTGTAAAAATATTTCGCGATTTTTCTTGTTTTAAAGGTGTACATACTTGAAGCTTTATCTCCGTTTTTTTATTTAATATTTTTGTTTGAAATATCAAAATATTTTCAAGGGCCAAATTTTTTTCCAGTACTCTAAAATATTCCCCCCAAAGTTTGTGATTATAGGGATATTTCGATTTATCTATAAAAGATAGAAATTACCTTGTAACAAATTTGTTTATAGGAATTGATAATTTAAGTAAACTGGTCAATATTTTTCAGTTTTCAGAAAACAATTTTCGGGCTAAAAATTATAAAATGATTCCAAATGGACTTTTTAAATTAAGAATATATCACATGAACCAATTTTCATAGCATAACTATCTATAGCCGAAGATGGCAACCCATTAGTCTAAGCTACATTGCAATCACAAGAATCCGTGTAATATCAAACGTAATTCATACATGGAAGGTACCTAGTTTTCGTTTCTGTTCAGTTCATTTAAATCAGATTTCATCATCGGGCCAGACTTGCCCATGTGTTGCATTGCTGTCTAATGTTTATCTGTATTTTTTTTCTGGAGAACAACAAAAATGCAGTATTGTTTACTAAATAATCATTGTGCATTATTTTAATATTTTTGAAAATTCTGTGGAAAAAAACAGTCATATAGGTAAATCATATTTTATTGGATTATCAGCCATAAATCACCTGAATTAGTAGTTTTATTTCTGCTATTTTTGTAGCAGGATGCAAAGTTTGTAATAAATTATTTTAGGCAAAACCATTGATTCGGATGAGGTTTTTCATAGTTCAAACATCCAAAATTGAACATTTTTCTTAAACTTTGTCATTTTTGGAACAGAATAACAGATTTTCTCAAAGTTTACATAATAATTTGCCTTTATCAATCATAATTTCAGCATCATCAAGTAAAATTTCAATTGTATCAGTCATCAATCACAAGTCGAGATTTAAATTTTGGTCCCCAAGTGTTTGCTCGACTAGATTTATACATTTTGACACTTACTGAGAAACTTTAGCGAAACTAACGCTATTTTTCAAACAGTGTGTATAAAGGAATGTTCTGAGCTGAAATCCTAATTAGTGATCTAAAAAATATCGATTTTGGAATATAAAGCACCAAATATACCTCATATTTTTTGCGAATAAACATTTTATACAGCACTATATATGAATGTGTGTGGAATTATTTATGTTATTATAGAAAAAGATCGCTGAATCTTAGCAGACACGAAAAGGAAGCTAGAAATGCAGGGCCGTAGAGAAAATTCCTTTTCCGTCTATTACCCTGAGATATTCAAATATGCGAATCTGTTTGAGACAAATGTTAAACCAAGCTACGGACGACGTAATGTCCATTTTGACTGCAATAATATCATTTAAGTTCGCTTTTATCGTTTTAATTGGAAAGTTTGACTTTAATTGCCAAACCGAATGAGTAGTCATCAGCGAGTAGCTTTCTGCATTTTATTTTATTAGATCAAGAATATATAAAAAAAAAAGATCGTCTTCATAAAAAGTACAATATGCTTTATATCATATAAAGCATAGTCGTCCTACAGTTGTCAACTACAATGAAATAGACTTGTGCTAAAGCGCTCGCTGGCAGACTAAAAATATGATTTAGATCCACTGTGGCCACAAAAATCTCATATAAGATAAATCGATTGACATTTTATAGGCGAAGTCAAAGAGAGAGAGAGAGCGATGCTCAAATATATGGACACGAAATGGCACGGGTATGCAGTCAGTCACAATAGCCTATACCGGTAACGCAGTGCACATGTTTTCGCCGGACCATGAGATCGCGAAGGCGGAACCGCCACAAGGAGCACAATTTCGAATTTTGATTACGCCATCACACAAAAAAACGAGACTTGAGACTAGCGTTATATTTAGCATTTCGGAAGTTATGTATTAGATTTATGTAAAGTTGTCATGTTAATGTTACTTACGTAGTGACATACATACATATTAAGAAATTTAATAAACCTGTACTTAAGAATTTGAATCCTATCACTGGTAGAAGGCAATTGAAAACATTACAGTGGGAAAGCATTTTAGTGGGAAATTAACACCTTCCTATCGTTTCCTGTCATTGAATATAAATGGATACTACTCGCAGTCAAACATAACCTGTAAAAACAACCTCCATTTCTTTGTTTTCTTGATATTAAGAATCGTTTTTTTTTATATGAACCGTAACAGTGGCGAATCTGGCATAAATTATTTCAAATTGGAAATAGTCAAAACTCGTGTTTTTACCCAAATAATAACGTAAAAGTAACCCAATCCAACACCAATTGTCAGTCGAAGATCAAGGGGCGCATTTTAACTTTTCGCCATGGGCGCCATTTCACGTAGATACGTCACTGTTCCTACACTATAATTTTTATTGCGTAAATTTGTTGATCAAAGGGGGTAACGGGCATTGGCATGAAATGCAATAAAGTCAATAATATGATAATTCAGAAGGCGAGGGAATTACTTAGAAGGTAAATAGAGAAAGAAAACAGATCAATGTATCCTAAAATATGCCCATCTTTATTTTTACAAACTAATGTCTCAGATTTAAGATTAATTATATCGAAATCATAGTAAAACAGCGATAGAGTAAGTAGCAAGTAGCAGAGTAGTCTCTAGTTCAGTGAATATGAACTTTTTCACAGATTTTGCTTCTCTTGTCCGACAAGCTTTTGCCCACGCATTGAACTTTGTTATCTTATTTTTCTCAGTCTGGAACCTTTACTCGAGCAAAAAGCCAATAAGCCTATACAAGTCTATAAACCAATTCAAGTGGAAAAGTGAAGAGAGATACACAAAAGGACGGAAATTATCATTCATTTCTAGAAAATAGAAGATATTAGACGTGGGAGGTACTGGTAAGCCTGTAAATTTACTCTGATGTAGGTTCACATCCGTGTTCTACATATCAAATTGAGTGCGAAACATAATCCAGGTTGCAGTAAAGTAAGGACGATCAGTGTAACTTGGAAAAATAAATCTTTAACGATAACCTCTAGTTACAAGGTTGCTTATTTTGAATATGAGCCTTTTTAGTCGTATAGTACAGATAGTAGTTTTGCGACATTCATTGAACATTAGCTGCGTGCCGGTACTATTTATTCCCCCGACACTAATTTTCTTGGTTGTTTTCTATTCTAATTACATCGAGATAAATGAGGTAAGTGCCCATTTTAAACTTTCCAAATCAACAATAAAGATGGAGGTCACAATAACAGAATGGAACCCTGGTACCATTGCGAGCTACCGCCATCTAAGAATCGCATATATATTTATTTCATCGAATCCAAGTACTATTAGTGTCAGCACCACTGTGTTTGAAACATTGCAGCGAACGACGATATTCAGTTTCAACGCGCAATAGGGTCGGAAATACTTTGCACGAGACGTCGATTTATTCTCCATGCTTACCAAACTTCAAAGGTTGAAGGTTGAAGGCAAACTTGACATGAAAGGAATTATCAATTACACGAAAGTAAACAATTAAATAGAAACTTTTCATTAGAATGACAGTACGATATTGTCTGTCCGATGTGACTAGAACAGTGATTTTCAATCGTCGACTTGAGTTCAAATCTGAGGTTACAAATAAATATTTTTCGAACTCAGAGGCAAAAAAACTCGAAAAACCGGAGAGCATTATCTATGATGGGGTGTAACGATCTAGATATAGGTATGACATTTTGATAGGAAATGTGGGCCCGCTTCGATGATCGCAATTTTTCTATTTTACCAGAGACTAACAAATGACAAACACACATATCTTCAAACATTGACGACCAACGTGACAGCCAAGATCAAAACAATTAAGTGCGAGTAAACAAAAATTTTCATTAAAACGTTGGTACGATGTTTGCTGTCTGGTGTAAATAGAGACTCACTACCTAAGTTTCTTATATGATTCCGATGTATTAGCGTAAATTGAAGTCATCAGTTGGTGAAGAGAAAGCTGACTATACCATAGTGTACAGCAAGGCTATTGAGAAACCAAAATAGTTTCATTTTTGAAAAATATTTGAATCTTCAATTATTGAGAAAAAGATAATAATATAAATCCCATTACATCTTCTTAAAACAACATAATAAAATTTTTAACATGAAATCGATAGTGATAACTGATAACTCATGTGTAAATCACAAAAAGCAGGATGCGGGGACGGTCGTTCCGCTTATTGAATATAGAGACTGTGGTTGAAGATTTCAATAGTCGTTTTGCTATTTGGTTTTCTATAGTTTGTTCAGTACACGAAGATTGTACGTTAAAAAAACTTTTTTAGTTCAAGACAGGAGAAAGAATAAACAAACTGTTGAGGAAGATGATAAGAGTCTATTTTGCTTCCGAATTTCAATCACATTGTTGGTTTAGAGCGGTGGTTCCCAGTCTATTTTGGTTAAATTCCTCTTTTAACAATTTTCTACATCTTTATCAATAGAACTACTTTATTTGTTCAATTTTTAATGGATCCTTTGCTAGAGTTATGCGCTAGTCGCACTCCCATTTTTGTACAGCTTAGTCAGTTTATTATGTATTATATTAATAATAAAACACTAAAGAATATTAGTCGTAATAACGCGAATACAAAGCAAAATCAGCGAAAGGACGGGAAACATTGGTTTTAGTGAATGAATAGAAAATATTTAAATTAAGTTGCGAGGAATACAAAGATGATTTTACATTCCAATTATTTACAACAATGAAGGACACCCCCCCCCCTGTTTTTTTAATATGAGAAACTGTTCTAGTAATAACGTGTATTGTTTGAAATCTCGTGACATCAGCTGTCTGACTTCCATTGTTGGAACAAACCGAACTACTATTGGCGCCTCAAAATCGATTGCTTTTTATCTGTCTGTATTCTCGTTCTAATTGAGAATCAAGAACTTACTACAGAAAAACCCGTTAAAAATTCTAGCAATCAATAAAATTAAAATATTTCGGATAGCAATGTTTATTTGATTGAGTAATTTCAAATTTTGCTTTCTGAAAATCTTCCTAAGTCGCTTGTTTTTTCAATCAAAATCTAAAAGTTGATGATTTGACTGATTTTATTTTCTAGTAGTTTTTTTTTGTATATTTTGTATTTGACATTCGAGTGTTACTCGATATGAAATGTGTAAGTATTATAACATAAACACTTGGAAGCATAGATTTTGCTCAAGTAAAGCCACGCCACGATTTGAAATACTAACTGCTGGCGAGCAAGCGCAACCTTCTCACTTTGGGGAACTCAATGTTATGTGAATAATGAGACAGAAATGGTGTGTAAAGATTATTATTTCAAATTAGCTAACCAAGTTTGCGGTCATGAAAGCACTACATACCGTTTAGTATTTGAGCATATCGTTTGGTCGCGAGATTTTACAAAACTTAATTTTTTAAAAATTTGGGTAGGATTGGTATCCACTGGGATAGACTTTTTATTGCTTAATTTTAGAGAAACTGATTGCGTTGTTTCCTCATATCTAGTTTTTGTTGTTGAGATTTGCCGAGTTGTACCAAGTGTTGACTGGTAACTTGACTTTTCTATCCTTTTTTCATAGTTTTATATAAATCTCGTTTCTGGACACGAGCGGGCCAATGAATCGCGTTGCTAAATTTTTGTTGGGTTTATCGATTTTAAATTATCAGTACCCCAAAAATGCCGGAAACAGCTAGAAGGCTGTTACTCTTACTTTTCCATCAAATTTCCTCGCAGTCTTCCGGTATTTTCCATCCGCCACGTCAGTCCGCCGAGTTTTCCCGTAAGTAAGGTCTACCGTACCGGTACATTATCGCGTTTTTCGTGTCCACATAATTTCTCCAGTGGCGAGATTCAGGGTGTAGACGCCAAATTTGGAGTGCCCTTAGCGCCCACACCAGGTGTATTTCTTAGATGGTCGATCTGTTTTAGTAAACTGATTTTATCACTCCAATGCAAAAGACGCGTACAACAGTACAAGTTGATGTCGTTTATTGTCAGGAAAGTACAGGTGTATGAAGATACGTCGGTACGATGTTATAGGTATGATAATACAACAGTACGTGATTACGACAATACGTGGATACGAGAGTACGTCAGTACGAGAGTACATCAATACGTGTACGGGAAGTACGGCAGTACGGTTTTCTAAATAAAACAAACAATAATTACAACAAATAATGTGCCGGCAAGAAATAACTCGACAATTGAAATCATTAACTAAACAAAATTGTACACATTAGAACTGAACTTAACATACGCAGGTTTACGCCAGTATAATAACAGTTGCGGCTGATTACAAAAGTGGTCATTATAGAACACGGTACAACGAAATATTCCTTAAATATAAAAAATAATAAACTGAAATACGTACTTGACAGTGTAGCTTTCAGCTTACAAAACAATCGACAGTTGATTGGGACAGTTATTGAAATTAAGTTAATGTTATTAAATCTAAATATATGAAAATACGATTAAAACCTTGGAACTACAAATCTCCAGACAACGAAAACCTTGCACCACAAATCCCACAGTCCTGAGAAGGTCGAATCAAGGTCCTGAAGCAACAAACGCGCACGGGGTATTATGATGTCACAATCACTAAAATCTGTGAACGTATGTACCCACCAGCGCCTCCAGTGGTAAACAACAAAAAATATAATGAAGCGAAAGAGGCAGTTTCATCCCGGCCCCTTAGAAATTGAGAATTTGCCATCCACAAATTTGAAATTTCTACACACTCAAAAACAAAATTTAAAAACGAAATTGATCTCACATACACACAACTCAACTAGAGTCAAACGAAATGGGTTTTGCACACAACTCAATCAGAGTCACTTGCACACAGAAGAATTAATTTAGTAATGGGCCTATCTAAGATTGAATGGTTGGTTTGCACCGTAGCAGAACGTACACGGCCTTTGTTGTCGGAAATCGTTCCAATGATTCTACCCAACAGCCATGCATTTCTTGGCAAATTTTCATCCATCACAAGTACAACATCATTCTTAGCTAAATTCCTTTGAACTTTGTTCCATTTTTGTCTTGTTTGAAGCAGAGGAAGGTATTCTCGTCTCCATCTTTTCCAAAACACATCAGCTAAGTATTGTACTTGTTTCCATCTCTTACGAACATACAAGTCTTTAGCATCAAAATACTCCTGGGAGGAAGTATCGGTTCTTCTTTCAACAACAACAAATTGTTCGGCGCTCAAAGGTGTCAAATCTTTTGGATCATTGGATACAGTTGTTATTGGCCTTCCATTCACTATGGATTCACATTCACACATAAGTGTAATTAAAGCTTTCATCAGTTAATTTTGTTCTCTGCAATAGCGTTGAAAATTTTTCTAATTGTTCTGATTTGTCTCTCAAAAACTCCACCATGGTGAGAAGCCGCTGGAGTTTGAAACAGCCACTTGATGTTCTTTTGCAGCAAAAACCTATGTATTTGATTCTGATTCCAAGTCTTGATAGAATTTCTCAATTCTTGTTCTCCAGAGACAAAATTTGTTCCATTATCTGATCTTATTTCAACTACTTGTCCTCTTCTTGAAATGAATCTTCTAAGAGACATTATAAAGGCACTTGTATCTAGGCTATGTGCAATTTCAACATGCACTGCACGAGTCACTAGGCAAGTGAAAATAACACCATATCTTTTTACTTCGCTTCGTCCTTGACGAACAAGAAATGGACCGAAACAGTCAAGAGCGACAAAAGAGAAAGGTGGCTTGTCTGGTATTAATCGGTCTTCTGGGAGGTCGGCCATCAATTGAGATTCAGGTGCCCGCTGTCTCTTGCGACAAGATATACAGTTGTTGAGAATCTTTCGTGTCATTGCATTTGCTTTTATAATCCAGAACTTTTGATGTAATTCAGCAATTACATATTCTCTTCCACTATGGCCTGTAACTTGATGAGTATGTTCAATAATCAAATTAGCAATAGAACTCTTGTTTGGAATTATTATAGGATGTTTTGCGTCATATTGAAGACTCGATGCTCCAATTCTTCCACCAACACGGAGAAGACCTTCTTTCATAATAGGCTGCAATTTACACAATGGACTTGATTTTGGCAATTGTTCACCTTTGGCCAATACATTAATTTCCTTTGAATAATATTTGAATTGTTCATTTTTGATTATTTCCAATTCTGCCAAGTTCACTTCATCCACAGATAAAAATTTATTATTTCCACTCCCCAAATTGCAAGAAACATCCTCTCTGACCTTGGAAAGCAGTGCTCGCTTGTAACGTAAAACCCATGCTACAATCTTCTTCATTTTGAACCAATTTGAATATTTAGTAGTAACTTGGTCTAATACAGTAGGTATATATGTATTTAGAGCAAAACACATCTGTGAATGTGGACTCTGCTTTTTAAATTCCAAATCCTTATCATTCATTGAATGCAGGAAATCTGGTTGTTTAGGCCATTCTTCCTGATTTTTCCATAAAAATTCTGGTCCAAATTTCCATTGTGGGTAGTTCAAAAATTCATCAGCAGACATGCCCCTAGATGCAACATCTGCAGGGTTTAATTTGGAAGGCACATAGTACCATTGATTCACATCAGAAACTTCTTTGATAACATTCACCCTGTTTGCAACAAAAGTTTTTAGAACTTTATCAGTATTTGCCAAATATCGTAATACGGTGGTGCTATCCGTCCAAAATATCGATGCATCAATTGGGAGCTTGAGTTCTTTACGAAAGAATTTTTCATTTCGTGCAGATATTGTTGCTGCACATAACTCCAACCTGGGAATCGTTGAGCCTTTGAGAGGTATCAAACGACTTTTACCACACAAAATTGAGCAATGAATTTGTCCAGAAAAATTCTTTAAACGTATATATGAAACAGCACCATAAGACTTTTCGGATGCATCTGAAAAGTGATGAATTTGTATTTCTGTGGTTTCACCGAAATTAGCAGGTAAAAAACATCTCGGAATAGTGAAATCTTTCAATTTGGATAATTCTGATATCCACTTTAGCCATTCCTGTTCACACTCTGTAGGAATTGAATCGTCCCATTCCAGCTTCTTCCTGCACAATCCTTGCATAAGGACCTTCATAGGTTGAATGACCGGCTGGCCAATGCCAAGAGGGTCAAATATTGAGTTCACAACACCCAGCATACCCCGTCTGGTAGCTGGTCGTTCAGTGTATTTAGTACTGAAACTTAATGTATCTTCATTTGCGTTCCATATCATGCCAAGAGCTCGCTCAACAGGCAATTCATCTATAGAGATATCCAAACGCGTTGCTTCCTTCGATCGGTGAGCTTCTGGAATTGAGGCCAATACTTCACGGTCATTGCTCACCCATTTTGTCACTTCAAAACCGCCTTTAGCAGCAATTTCAGTTACACTCTTTATATGTTGGAGGGCACTAGCAGCATCCGGTTTGGAATCACAAAAATCATCAACATAAAATGAATCATTAATTGCATCAATCACACTTTGTTCAAAATCATTTTTGTTATCTATTGCAGTTTGTCTCAAAGCGAAGTTGCAACAACTTGGAGAGCACACAGTTCCAAAGAGAAAAACCGACATTCTATAAATTTTCATGGGTAAAGTGATGTCACCATTTTCCCACCAGAAGAAACGGAGGAAATTTCTATCACATTCTTTCACCTTTACCTGATGAAACATGGACCGTATATCCCCTTGAACAGCTACAATATTTTTGCGAAAGCGTGACAAGACTCCAACTAAATTATTTGTTAAATCCGGCCCCTGTAACAGGATGTCATTAAATGAAATTCCTTCTGATTTTGCTGAGCAGTCAAATACAACCCTTAACGTTTTCTTCTCTGGATGACGAACTCCATGATGGCTGAGGTACCAAGTCCTTCCTTCTTCTTCATTGGTATTCAGAACTTCTTCAGCATACCCCATTGTTATCATATTTGCAACAAAATCCTTGTATTCGGCATAAAATTCCGGTTCCTTGTGAAGACGACGCTTTAATGATTTCGCTCGCTGCAGAACTTGATATTTATTTGAGTGCAATTTAACATCAGGATTCTTCAATGGTAAACCTATTTCGTAGTGTCCATCAGTTCTGAGCTTAATTGACTTACTAACTTTGTCGAGAAAAACTTGTTGAATTGGTGAAACCTCATCTTTTTCATTAATTGCAGAATGAACAACATCTGCACACATTTGGCACAAAGGATTTAGTTGAGATTTGGTGAAATATGTAGAATTTTTGGTATTTCCATTTTTCGCAGGGCAGTTAACCATCCATCCAGCAATTGTCTTCGATGCAAAATAATTGTTTGGGCCATAAATCACTTCCAATGGTTTATGCAAACCAAGATTATCTTTGCCAATCAAGAGCTCCACATCACATTCTACTTTGGGTAGCACAATACCATTAAATTCTTTAAATTGATCAAGATCACTTTGTGTAGGGATATCTGTTTGATCAACACCAATTTGATCGTTTGAAAACAAGGGATTTAACCTTACATATTTTGACTCCTCAAAATCTGCCAGTTCGAGGTTCTTTATAACAGTGCATTGCTTGTGTTCCACAGTATTATTTATAGTACGAATGTTCAAATTTGTAACTGGTCCATTGACCTTTAATTTATTCATTAGCGAATTGCTTATAAAAGAGCAAGTCGATCCATTGTCAAAGAATGCATTGGTTATAACAGCATTTCTTCTACCAGCTATGCGTACCTTAACAGGTACAACATTGAGCAAAACCTTTTGTTCGTCAGAGGCATTTAGGAATGCATTAAATTTGGTTTCAGACATCTGTGTCCTATAATCATTATGTGTTTGTGTAGTACTTTCATGACTACTTGATGTAGGGACTTTTATTGGTTCCTTATCCGGAGGATGAAGAAGTGTTGTGTGTTTTCTTCTGCAGTTTGCATTTTTGCAAGGGTTGTTTCGTTTACATTCCCTGACCCAATGCCCAGATAATAAACATGAAAAACACAACTTTTGCTTTTTTACAAACTCCAATCTCTTATCATACGTCATGCCTCGAAATTCATCGCATTGATTTAAGTAATGATCTCCATCACATTTTACACATCTGCGTACAGGTCTATTATTATGAACTGTAGTTGCAAATGAGGATTTGTATGGCCTCGAGCCTCTTGTGGAAATAATTTGTTTTGAAGTATTAAATTCGATAGAGGGAACATTGCATACTTCTCTAGTTTTCTTACGGACGTAATCAGCAAGATCCTCTATTGTTAGGTCTTTTTTCTTTATTTGTAGTACATTGTCCATCTTTGATAACCACCCAGATCTCCATTCAGGCGGCATTCTTAAAGCTATTTTTTCTATGGTCATAAGGGCAACATTTTTGTATTCAACCCCTATCAACGTATTTTTGCATGACATGATTTCTGCTGAATACACAGTTAATGATTCTTTATTACTCAAATTCAGTCGAGGACCATTTGCTATGGAATTAATGCAGGATTCGCCAATTTGAAATTTCTGACCATAAGTTTCTTCAAGTAATCGAATAGCTTCATCATAGCTATCTGTTCTGTGTTGACACCCCTTAACCAAAGCACGAGCAGGGCCTTTTGTATATTGAAGAAGATAAACTAGTTTGTGCTTGGGATTTTGTAATCTGCTACCAATTACAGTTTCAAAAATATCAATGAAATCTCTATATTCACCTGCATTACCACAAAATACAGGGGGTTCAGATGGTGGCAAACCTAAAGTTTGAGGCACATATATAACTTGAGGGTTGGCTGCTTGAGAAATATTGTTATTCTGTGCATTTGTATTACTTGGTTGACTGCCCACAATAGGATTTTGAATTGAGCCGATATTAACTGAGTGCATTGCCTCTGCATTTTCAATTCTGCCAGGATTATCTACTAGTGTTGGTAATGTAGGGTTCATATTAACAGCCAAACTAGTCGTATGCAATGGAATAGTATTGAATGAAGTTGGAAATTTCGTTATTATTTCACTGTGGTTCGTTCCAGCCCCAGTGTAAATTGCATTGCTCTGCAATTGTCTGTTATCACCCACACATGACATTGGAATTTCACAACCCCTTAAACTTGGCTCAGATACACATGATGCAGGCACACAGGAAGTCAAACCAGAATTCACCACACTGCAAGAACTCACAAACATATTTTCAGATGTTAACGGTATTTGGGCCATGTCACACACAGATTCAACAACAGTCACACATGCACTCGGGACCCTTTGTGGACGGCAAAACCCAAAACCAGAGGAGGAATAAGAAACTGACTCACCATGCTCTGAGGTGTTCACACGTTCACTTGATTGTTCCTCACATTGCATATCAAAACTTCTAGAAACAGGAAATTGACTTGGTGTTGAAAATGGTGTGCTTAAAGCTGGTAATAATGGACTGGTTACATTTAATATTTCAGTTTGTTGTGTGGCAGAATTTGATAGCTGCTGATGGATTTCTACACTAGCAGCAACAGGGGGCGTATTTATAACAACACCTCTTTCTGCTAAAGTTTCATTTAAATTAGTGTCCAGTTCCAGTTGTTCACGTTGGTTTTTATCTTCAATTTCTTGTAGGTTCATCTGCTTCCTCTTGTTGAATTTGGCGAACTCGATGTTCCTTGTTTGCATTATTTGTTGGCGGCGATGTTGAAAGGCTTCGAATTCAGCCTTCCTCTTACGTTGTTGTTCTTCTTCCTCAGCTTTGAGCTTACGCTGTTGTTCCTGTTCTTCGGCCTTCAGTTTACGCAAGCGTTCTTCTTCTTCGGCCTTCAGTTTACGCAAGCGTTCTTCTTCTTCGGCCTTCAGTTTACGCAAGCGTTCATCTTCTTCGGCCTTCAGTTTACGCAAGCGTTCTTCTTCAGCTTGCTGTTTTTGTAAAATCGCTTGCCACTCTTTGTTTAATTTTAAGTTTTCAACTTGATTGTTATCTTCCCATATTTGTTTTTCATTTTCTAGGCGATTCTTTAACTGTTGTTTCTCCAGTTCTGTACGCCTTTGTTGATTCAACTTTTTTGTTTCAAATATATTTTCGATTTGAGAATTACTTAAATCGGACATTCTTGATGAAAATGAAGATTGCGACCGAAAAGTACCACTGCGTGATGTTAGACTTCTTATTACTGATCTATGCTGTTGACTATTTCTTTTGGAAGTCCTGCTTTTATTAGTCTTTATCTTCGACCTTGTTGTCATAGCATGCGCATTTGTTGATCCTTCTTTAGCAAGTTGGCCAGATGCTCCTTGGTTGTTCTTTTCTGAACTTGGTTGGACATCTGACTCTACATCAGGACTTCTTAGGAACAGATCTTTGATTGACGCACTATGACAATCTTTAGAAGTTGATTGACTTTCATTAGGCAAAACAGGAATTATATCTTGTGTTGGAATAGTCTGCAAAGCAATTACATTATTTTCAGTTGCTTCAGAAGATCCAGTAACAGACATATTTTCTGACATATTATTGTCTTTGTTCACTATTTCATCATCGGCATCTGGTACGTTGATATTGTCATTTGATTCGGCCATATTTTCAAAAACTTTGTTGTAGTATTGCAATTGTCAAAAAACTAATGTAGACGCCAAATTTGGAGTGCCCTTAGCGCCCACACCAGGTGTATTTCTTAGATGGTCGATCTGTTTTAGTAAACTGATTTTATCACTCCAATGCAAAAGACGCGTACAACAGTACAAGTTGATGTCGTTTATTGTCAGGAAAGTACAGGTGTATGAAGATACGTCGGTACGATGTTATAGGTATGATAATACAACAGTACGTGATTACGACAATACGTGGATACGAGAGTACGTCAGTACGAGAGTACATCAATACGTGTACGGGAAGTACGGCAGTACGGTTTTCTAAATAAAACAAACAATAATTACAACAAATAATGTGCCGGCAAGAAATAACTCGACAATTGAAATCATTAACTAAACAAAATTGTACACATTAGAACTGAACTTAACATACGCAGGTTTACGCCAGTATAATAACAGTTGCGGCTGATTACAAAAGTGGTCATTATAGAACACGGTACAACCGAAATATTCCTTAAATATAAAAATAATAAACTGAAATACGTACTTGACAGTGTAGCTTTCAGCTTACAAAACAATCGACAGTTGATTGGGACAGTTATTGAAATTAAGTTAATGTTATTAAATCTAAATATATGAAAATACGATTAAAACCTTGGAACTACAAATCTCCAGACAACGAAAACCTTGCACCACAAATCCCACAGTCCTGAGAAGGTCGAATCAAGGTCCTGAAGCAACAAACGCGCACGGGGTATTATGATGTCACAATCACTAAAATCTGTGAACGTATGTACCACCAGCGCCTCCAGTGGTAAACAACAAAAAATATAATGAAGCGAAAGAGGCAGTTTCACAGGGTGTGCGCACGAACCCGTTCTTGAGAAGGCGGGACATCGACTTAACTTGGTTTAAACGTTAAACGACCGAAGCAAATAGGTAATTTGCACCGCAGCCGCATCTAGCGTTATATTTGACGTTTCGAAAGTATCCCATATATTGGTTTCGAGTAAAGCGTTCCGTGTTAATGCAAGTTAGGCTACTAAGTATATCATCTGCATACACATACATTTTCTGAAAGGAACCACCCATTGCTAGTGGATTCCTTACAAATGAGAACTTTTTCATCTGCCATATCTACTTAAATTCAACCCACATTGTGTACATATACGCTAAATTCATTTCAAGCGCATTTCAAACTTTTGAAGATTTGTTGAGTATAATAATGTATATATTATGTTCATTATGAATCGTATATAAGTCGCCTCTTCCTGTACCGATGTCGAACTCGCGACATTATTATTCATGTTGCCATAGAGTACTGAAAGAAGCGTGAATGAATGTTTGTTTGTGGAATGAGTCATTTTTGTGGTCAATTATTTATTTAGGTGTTTATAAATGTAAAAAAAATGATCAAAACGAAGACCCCTGGTATTTGAAACCGCGATATTAATATTGGTATAAATATAGGTCCTATAGGACCTTCCGATATCTTCAAAAGAATTTAGAACATAGGATATAAGTTTCCAAACCGGAGAAGAATTTGGAAGCTTTTTTTTGGGGGGGGGGGGATTTTATTTTGTATTTGCTTGTAGTATTACTAATATTTCGTACTTATTTATTTTTTTTGTAATGCATATACAGGGTGTCTCAAAAATAAGTATACACTTTCAATTTTGATTTGCTTTCCCTGTACTCATAATAGATCATTCATTTCTTCAAGAAACATAGTATGGGTAACTAGTAAAATTTAGGTATTGTTTGCATTTTCATCAACCCACAGAATGACAAGGAGATTAACCCAAAAAATTAGGTGCAAAATTGCTTGAGACACCCTGAATACGGATACATTATGACCTATTTCAATTGTACAAAAGCCAAAGTACAAGTTGCACGTATCACAAGCAAATGTTCCGTTGAGATCGAAAAACAAATGCAAATAGAGTTTTAAGCGAGGGAAGATAGAAGGAATGTGTCAAAAAAGGTTGTGAACCACTGAGTTAGAATATCAGCGTCGGCATTTTAAATTAAGAAGCAGTCTCTTATACCAATAATTTCTAACCGATGTTCCTTCAGGTGTTCCCAAGTTAAATTGTTATTCCTATTTTTTATAGGCATAATTTATAACGAAAAATGAATTCGAGTCAATGAGCATGTATTTGTTTTTTAGAAAAGTTCGTTGCGCGATAATGGATGGATGAATCAACAGATATATGCTTCCTAGTTTATACCAGTAAATATAGCTAACAGCAGAATGTTAGAGGTAACGATGCCTTTTTATAAGAAAACTTGCTTGAAGTACTTTGGATTGGACGGGTATTTCGGGCATTCCATTAACAAAACGATCAGAAAGAATATATCAAGACTGAAACCTTGTTGGGTGGCCGATTTAGACCGTACATTTCATTTCATAACCGCCGTAGACGACAAAACCGCTTTGATGTTTAAGCTTAGATGGTTGGTTTTTATGAATAAACTTCTCGCCATGTGTCGTATTACAACTTATCGGCATAGAAACAGGCTAGTCTTTAATATTTGAAAAGATTGATAAAAACAATTACTTATATTTTACCTTGCGCTAATAATTTGGTTTCTGCAAGACTAACAACTTATTCTTCTTCTATGCCTTTGTGACGAGTATGCATATAATGCAAGGATGCTGTAGCAAGAGTAAAGATAACTATCCTAAGTGATTCAAGAGTCTTGCTGCACACTAACACAAATATATTTCTGTAACGTTTCGTCTGACCAAGATCAGACTTCTTCAGACATAAGCTATATAGTTAAACTACTTGCTATGTATGCCTGAAAAGTCTGACATTGGTCAAACGAAACGGCACAGAAATATATTTGTGTTAGTAATTAGCAAGACTCTTGAATCACTTATTAACTGTCATATTTTAGTTTTACTGACACCGTAGCTTAACACGCCACAGGTCCGATTTCCGTGTACGGGTATTAGTCATTAAATTTCTCATTAGATGAATCTCACCGCATGTGCTGTACAACGTCTTACGTAATGAATATCCGGTGTACACCTGACGAATGTTTCTAATTCTATTAAATTGATCGACCATTTTGCAAATGTATATACAGATGTACAATGACACAGGGAGGGCAGATCACCGTAAAGAGATAAAGAATGACTTTGGTATAAAAGAATGTCTTGGTAGTAATAACAAAGACAGTTTGCTTCAATTAAAATTGCATTTGACAAATTGGAATTCAAGGCTCTCTGTAAAGGCATTTTGGGAGTTTTAAATTTTCAAATTTTTAATATGTTCGGGTCAATGATTGGTAATTTTTCGAGTTAAAACTTGGTATTCATGATTACGGTAGAAAAGGCAAATGCAGATTATTTGAATTAGGAATTTTTCAAATTAATACTATTTGAGAAAACTAGACTACTTTCTGGCAAAAAATTGAATTATATATATATGTAGATTCTGCAGTTTAGTTTCTATGATCTCTTGCTTTCAACTTGCATAAGCATTCTTGTGGACGAGATCAAATCGACATACATTCAAAATAAAAACAAAAAGTGCAAACAAAAGCCAATATAAATAATAATGAACAATCAAAATTAATGTACAGGCACACGTTTTCTCACCGTAGCCTTTCAAAACACTTCCGTATCAGCATTGCTGAATCGCTTACAAAATTATTTTTGACCTCATTTATACACTTTTAACGAGTGCTTACGACTTTGCACAATAGCAAAAGTAGTACATTGTTAAATATGAGATGAGGTGGAGTAAATCTCGCAAATCTTATTGTATATGTAAACGTTTAACGATTAGAGAGAGCATCATTTGTAAGATAATTGTGTACGCAACGGTAGCCGCCCACCTAATTATCCATTCTCGCGAACATTAACGACGACGGTCTATTTACCGGCGTTAAAAATACCATTCCACTTTAATAGAGTCGTAACAACGGTAAAGTTGCGAAAGATCAAAAATATTTATACGAAGCAACTATTTCTCCAACTTTGAATAGCATGATCAAATGTCGCTTCAATTTTAATTCTGTCAGGTAAAAAAGGAACAAGTTGAGGAAAGTAAATTTCGTATACTAGAATTATCTTACAGAGTATCTTAGAGTATCTTACAAAATTTTCAGCTCGGCAGCCGTGGTTTGTAACAATGGAATCTGCGCAACCGCGGGGAAGAACATACTTGCAGAAGGTGGCTCTGTTGTCGATGCTGCTATCGCTTCCATGCTGTGCTTGGGTGTTGTTTCGTTTCAAAGGTATATATATTTAAAAAAAAAAAAAAAAGAGTGTCCAAAAACGATCGCCCGATTTTGTTCTGGTAACAATTGAAAAATTGTTCATCTTTGTTTATTGAAATTTCTTAGTGTGTCTTTAAAACATTGTACTACATTGAATGAAGCAAACTTTATATAAACGGGTAGTTATTACATTTCGTAAAATCGTAACTTGAAGTGCTTACAAGGATAACTTATTGCTATACACAATCGTTAGATAACTATTGGTTTATACAACAAAGTAATTATCAATGGACGTGTATGAGCGATAAAAACCAGTGACTATAATTATTTCCAGTTTTTAGGAAATATTTCTAATTTATTGATAATTTGTTTATTACATTCGTATTGCCTGCAGGGCATACATTTTGAGAAAAATATCACTCGAGTTATTGACATATATTAGTAATAAAGACTTTTGATGAGGTTAGGCTCACCAGTTAGACAAATATATTACTGAAGTTAGCATAGAGAAAACAATAAATCCCGCTAACACGCTATGTCAGCATTACTGTACAGGTGCCCGGAACCTGTTAATGTGAATATCTCATAGGTTTTTTCTGGTATTTTTCTGTGTTATAACTCTTCATAAAATTAATTTTTCAATCAAAATCCTAATGAAGTATAAAGAGTGTAGCCAGCCAAAAAGTCCTTTTGTCCGGATGGGGTCGCAGTTATCCAATATATGCAAGCGCGCAATTTCATCTACCTCGGTTGGTTCGTTTAGAGCAGTGTTTTCCAATCCGAGTCTGCGGTCTCAAATGAGTCAGCAGAGCGTTTGAATGAGTCTTCTCGAGCAATACCGTTTGAGAAAGTTATGTAGTAGTATATATCATGTAGGTCACTATCCTTTTTAGTGTCGCGAAATTCTTTGTCGGGATAAAACATTTTTACCAGACTTAAGTACCAGCCAAGTTTTGATTTACGTTAGTATTTACATAAAACATAAAATAAAGTTTATTCACATAAAATTAATCGATTCAATAATATCCGAGTAGGCAAATGCCGCAAAATCGTTTTTCAATCTAGCTACGCCAATGTATCGTTTTGACACGATAAATTGAATTAGTGTTAATTGTATGTTTAAAAAAGTGAATAAAATTAGTTGGAAATGAAGATGTACACATCTAGAGTTATTTGTTGCCTTCTATCCACAATATACTGTAGCAGTCGCGTTGTTGGCATAGAATAGCTTTGCAGGATGGAAGTAAGGAGGAAAGTTTACTGTAAATGTTTAAGTAAATAATAAGTACATAAAGAACTGAAAAAATTACAATATTACAAACTTTAATCTATTGACCCACAGGGGCACCCTAGGAGAGCGCCATAGAGGCAGCCGACCAGGGCAGCGCGTTGTAGGGGGCAGCAGATCCAATCTGAAGGTTCAAATTGTTACACATGTCATGGCACATACACATGTCATGTCACATACAAATGTCAAAATATGCATGTAACTGCTTTTGGTGTTATAGTTGAACTATGTATGTCTGGAGAAGTCTGACCTTGGTCAGACGAAACGTTACAGAAATATATTTGTGTTAGTGCGCAGCAGGACTCTTGAATCACTTAGGATTGTTATTTCTACTCTTGCTACAGCATTCTTGCAATATACACATACGGATCCACCGGCACAAAAGCATAGAAGAAGGATAAGTAGTTAGTCTCGCAGAAACCAAATAATCAGCACATGTTTTTCACGATGCGTTTTTTATTTAAGTAAAAGCTGATTTATGTGTATAGTCTTGTAAGACTGATTGACTCAACTCTCACCTGACCACTATATTATTCATTCTCATGTATAACAACATCTATAATTTGATTATCTGCCGAATTATTTGTGAAGTCGGGTATGAGGGGAATCGTTATCAGAAACTTGACTGGTCAGCAGACAAGTTTGGCACGCTCTTGACCATATGTATGAGAAGCTATTTTGTACACACCCCCTTCTGAAGAAAAACGTACGGAGCACATGAACAATCTGAACTACAATTTTTTGAAAAAGTAGACGATCGTAACCTTCATTTATTTTATCCGCTACTTTATATTTATCCAAATATGATTTTTCGAACCTATTTTCAAATAATGTTCAAAAAATTATTCAAATGTTTAATTTATTATAGATCTATCCTTTCAGTAGCAATTTATTCATATTTTCTGTATTATCTAAAGATTTTATTCTATCACAACATGATGAACGGAACAATGTTGGATCAAGACATTAACATGAACATCAATGGGTTAGTATTATATCTATGGAATGGTCAGCTTTTCACAACGACTGTTATTGACAAGTAAAACATCGGGGCCCTTTGTGCTCTAATTCACGACTTGTCGAGACAAATTAAGTTATCTAATAGGTTATAGTCCACTTAAATGTTTGAAACAAGTAAAAGTAATAGTGGTCTAGCAAACAAGGCAATCTTTACCCACTAAAAATTTCGAAGCAGTCGGTCTAGTAGTTGGCGGGAAAAACAATTTTTTAAAACAAGAAGTCGCAATAAGAAGAAGAAAAGAATTCTAACAGCAACATAATATCAAAACGATCGATATGTACATTCCGTGTCCAATACCTCAAATAACACGCACTTCGTTAAAATAACCGCTTGCAAATTTTTGCAGATTTCACAAACATGGAATGCAAAAGCCGGAAATATGCTCGGAGAAATCTTACAAAATTTTTAGCTCGGCAGCCGTGGTTTGTAACAATGGAATCTGCGCAACCGCGGGAAAGAACATACTTGCAGAAGGTGGCTCTGTTGTCGATGCTGCCATCGCTTCCATGCTGTGCTTGGGTGTTGTTTCGTTTCAAAGGTATATTATATTGAAATACAGAGTTTTCAAAAAAGTTCACCCGACTTTGTAGTGGTAATAATTGGAAAATTGTTCGTCTTTGTTTATTGAAAGTTCTTATTGTGCTTGTATAGTTCTCATTTTTCATACAATAAAATTTATTCGAACTGACAATTGTTATTACTATAAATCGAAAAAAATATTTAATTATTATTGCTGTGATATATCGGGCGAATTTTTTTGGACACCCTGTATTTATTGCACAATAATTGAAGTGAATGATACAAGAAATTGCTCAGTTGATAGAACAATCAGTATTCAGGGCAGGACTTAACAACCACGGGGCTTTATTTGAAACGGATTGGGCGTTACCGATCTGGGTACAGATAAAAGTAAGAAACGAAAAGTAAGATTTTCTGATAGAAAATGAATTTGGCATTACATCGTGTTACTCTCAAAGTACAAAATCCCTAATAAAAATCTACTTTACAGTCGTGAGTATGCCGAAGTTACTTGCTGACTTATACACGATTATAACTTATGATCATTGCATTTAATATTTAATAATTGACACCTAGTTTACTGCATAGATCGATTGCAGTAACCTTGTTAGTGTTTTGTGCTTGGCTGATTTAAATGTGAACGTGTGTTTTACAACTCCGGTAAGCGATTATCAATTGGTCAAAATCTGTTTATGAAGTTTGTGCTTATTTACAAGGAAAGTCATCTCTTGCTATTCATGTCGGGCTAATTGCTATACGATTTCCAGCACAGTATTTAGTAAAATAAGTGTCGCCGAACAAGCTATTGCTTTTTTTGTTTTGTTTTTCGAGCGACCTGCCCAGCTATTTTGCTGATTTTGAACCACACAATGTGGGTTTTACTTGGTTTAGTTTGGCAGAAGAGTGGTTAATAAAATGCCTTTGCTAACAGTCTCGGTATCCGTTCATGTATCCGTATATATTTGAGCATTAAGGTCTTGAAAAATATTTAAAAAAATGTATAAATATTCCACTGGTTGGTGGGCTACTATTCCACGCCGTTTTAGAACTTCTTTGGCTATACTGATTAATTTTCTTTCAATGTCTAAAACTCTGGAAGTTTGAACCAACAGTCCCTAATTATTTTTCAGCGCTGGTATCGGAGGGGGATTCTACATGATTTATTACGACGCAGAAACAGGAAAAGATTATTTTATCGATGCCAGATCTGTTGCCCCACTCGGAGTAAATCCTGACATTTACATCAACGATTATGTAGCACGATATGGTGAGATATTTAACGAATTTCGAAGTACAGCGAGTGTAGTTCTAAGTATAATATGCTATGAGTATGCTATAAAAAACGGCTTATGCATTCATGGAAGTTTTCCCGACTCTTGATCCCATACTTTTCCTATACTATTAAAAAAATTGGGAAATTGTTTTGAGGAAGTTTTACACAAGTTACATATTCATGGCCTCATTTTGATTCAAAATATTTAACTACCAGCTATTTAAAGTACTGATAGCTAATTTTAGCTTAGTCTATCGAAGCTTTTTGGAGCTAATTTTTGACAAAATGACCATCGAATTTATTGACTTATGTGAATGGAATTCGGGAACAACTAACATGATGACAAATAGTTGGAAATTGGAATAACGTCCTTAAAAAAGTATGAACGGCTGCTAAGATTTTAATTTTTACGTCACCGTTGAAATTGTTAGCCAATGTTACTGAAGTAAATTAGGAAGCCAATATCCGAAAATATTCATTTGAGTTGGAGTGAAGTAACTTATATATTTGTTCACGCTTGGTTTCTTATAGCACGATACAGTTAAATTACAATACAGGAAAAATTTGCCAGTCAGTTCACCAATGAAGATATGCGGTCTGTCAATACTTGTGTAACAATTCTAACTTTTGCATCACAGGAAGATCATCCATTGGAGTTCCGGGTGAAATTCGTGGTTACTGGGAGGCGCATAGAAGATTTGGAAAACTTCCATGGTCTCGTTTATTTGATCCTGCCATTGAGCTGGCAGAGAATGGTTTTCAAATGACATTCAGCTGTGATAAATGGTTGAAAATAACAATGAAAAAAGTACACGAGAATCTTTATTTAAGGTAAGGAAAATTAATGAACTTATGTGGCTTACATGAACAATTGCTAGACCTCGGTTTTGGTCAGAGGAGTATTCTTTCTACATCTTACCATTTCAAGATATTTGTAACCTCTATCTATTATTAGCACATCTGTTCTGGGCAAGATCACTATACAAAACGTTGGTTTGCTGGAATCCACAATAAAGTGAACAATACCGTTTTTAACGACTCGTGAAAATGAATTTTAGGGACGCCGATAAAAAAAATGTTAAAATTCATGCTGCTACTTATGCTTATTTTCAATTTGAAACGATATATTGCAGACTAAACATAAAACGATAAAGCATGCTAATTTTTTTTATCGGGGTTCTAGTATGTAATACCAACTTAGCAGAGGTAATTTGCTGGCAAATTCGCGTTCACGTAACCTCGACCGGAGCAAACCGTTTCAAAGAGCTTGCTATGTCAATACCTAACTTCATCAACTTCTCAATTACACAGAAAATTTCTAAAACACCCGAATGGAGAATTCAAACAAAAGGGCGACATTTTTCATCGCCCTGTATTCGCAGAAACACTTCGTACCATTGCAAGAGAAGGTGCGGAAGCTTACTACGATGGATCATTAACGCAATCAATTCTACAAGATATTCATGATGGATTTGGACTTCCGTCTGCAATAACAAAAGATGATCTGAAACAGTACAAGTATGTAAAAGGACATTATGAGTTTGAATCCCTATTTTCCAATTATCAATTATGGCTTAGATGCAGACAGGCGTACAATAAACTGGATATGTTCGAAGTGTAATGTAGCACAAAGCTTGTCAACTATTTTTACCAAAGATCTGTATGAAAATAGTAGCCTACTGACGTCCCGTCTTTCCAGAAAATATATTTCACAGTGCGCCCAAACATATTGAGTTATCTATTAACATTGAGTTAATAGATTTAACAGAAAAAAGATTTGTGTGAAAAGGGGTGGCCACAAAAACAAAATCCCCAGCGGGCATTGTAGTTCCTCGGCAAGGGATTATTCGCTTATCGAGACAGCGACATTTCCATTGTTATCGGATATTACCAGATACATATAACCGGGTATTATCGGATACATAACGAAAAAGAAAGGCTAGTTGACTCCATTTCCGTAACTCCGTATTTAAATAGTTCGACAGGATCGTGACAACAATTTTAATAGAAATAGCCACTCCTGGAGCAAGGAGTGGCTCTGTTAGATAAAGGTACGACCCTCGGTTTCATCCAGTTATTTCTATCTGGCCCTCCTGTATTAAAGGTTGCACATTCTTGTCCTGAGGTATAATTTTTTATTATTCTTTTTAGAGTTCGCATCAGAGAATCTATCAAAATTGACCTCGGCAACGATTTGACAATGATTGCTCCCGGTGCACCAAGTGGAGGACCGATACTTGCATTTATACTTAAAGTTTTGAAAGGTATTTTATTGGATCTCCGCTCTTGGAGACCCGTCTACTCAGTCGTTCTGTCTGTCTGTGTGTGTATCCGACAGTCTGTCTGGCAAGTTATATTTTGTCTAGATCATGGGTGGGCAAAATTTTTGAACCAGGGGCCAACATTTTCGCCCACTTAGACTGGCGGGCCATAAAAGTGTGACGTAAAAAGTTACATTTTAGAAACAATATTACAGTGTTAAAAACCAAAGATGGAAAATAATAAGCCTGGTGCCAAAACTAAATTTAACCGCAATCTCAACAAATTCCTTGAGCTATTTTAGCTGAAACATTGAAATTTGATTTCGTGTTGGTTGTGGCAGCATCAGGCAGGCCAGATTGAATTACCCATTGGGCCGGATTTGGCCCGCGGGTCGTACTTTGCCCATGTCTGGTCTGAATACTGCATAAACAGAGGAAGCCGTAGGGATTTTAGTTATCATTATTTTAACTATTAGCTACAGTAGCCTATATATCACACACGTGAGGATGTACACGAAGCGCGCAGCGCTTAAAATGAACTGAAAGTTCGGTTACCCGCTCCTCCAATCACGCTGCCGTTATAGGTCCGCAAGTTTCCGTGGATGATAACCGGTTGATTAAGTGCGGGTCTCAACTATCAGCGGAAATTCTTGTCCATTAAGAACGGTGTTGCGAAATGTTTTTTCGTCTCACTGTGAGTTTCTGACAAATCAATCGGATTTTATGCAAATCAGGTTCAATTTTTAAAACTAATTAGACACAGAGTTCGGGTGCTGCAGGTTTTATTGTCAATAAAACCAAAATTCAGAAGCGAATGTTTCGAACGCGACAGCAAATGGCTTTTTGTTAGTCGTAACCATATAATTAGTTTTGGTCTTATTGATGAACGAGAGTTGGACCAATGATTTCGTTTCATTTCATGAAATTTTATTGTGACTGTTTAATTCGAATTGGTTTGATATGAAATATTATGAATATGCGAGGTTATGCTCATATATATACGAGTACATGAATAATCGTCAAATACTCGCGCAAGTGAATTTGGTACGAACAAGAGTGACTCCCAGTTCCACCCTTTATTGTTGATACACGGTGTTAAAATAGTGAACACCGTAAAACAAAATATTAATTTTAATTTTTTTATAAAGGTTACAATTTCACCGCTGAAGACTTAAAAGAAGATAAAATTCTAACTTTCCATCGAATTATTGAAACAATCAAGTTTGCCTATTGCAAAAGAAATAAAATGGGAGATCCTGATTTCAACGATGAAATTGTTCAGGTATAACTTGGTTTAATTTTTGGTTTCAAAAATTATTTACGTATAAAGGTATGTAGCCTACCTGATGGTATATGTAGTAGTATGTGTACCAGGTTAGTGTTTTATTCCGATTTTTCTTTTTTCAGTTCTATTACGAGTTCGGGGACTGTCTGCGTTAGACTAGTGAATACACTCCTTGCCCATATGTATTCGTCCCCTTTACACAACTTGATATAAAGTAGGCGAACAAAATTAGTTACCTCCATATTGGTACACATACTTCTGGAGCGCCAAAATTTGACAGTCCTCAGAAACGTTTTGATTGTTCAGTTTGTTAAATTGTTCAAAACCTTAATCATCATGAAATCTTTGATAATGATAATCCTAGCAGACATCGAAAACTTCACGCTATCGATATTTCTTTAATGCTTGTATCAATGTAAATTGAAACAGATTATCAATGAAATGATGTCAGACAAATTTTGTGAAAATGTCAGAGAGAAAATAGATGATTTTCAAACGCATTCATCAGAATATTATGGTGATGTAGAAGTACGAGTTCCGAACGATCAAGGAACGGCACATTTAGGAATTGTTGGTCCAGACGGCAGTGCTGTAGCTATTACAAGTACAGTTAACCAACCGTGAGTAGATATTTAGTATTTACAAATTAATAGACTCAGAATTTATATAATTTCAACTTTAATATTGAGTTTTATCCGCCCACAATTCTATACAAAGTAAAAGTTTAGACAAGTTTTATTATCTTTATCAACCCGAATATCTGATTGAAAATTGTAATACATTCATTATATGATATCTGAAATATATTTAATAAATATCTATGCTATATGTAGGTAACTGATTTCAGTAGTGTTTCCCAGCCATTCAATATTTAATAGACAGTGTAGGGTTGCAAAATACTCGTGAAGTATTCAGACTTTTCTAAAACGTAAGAATGTATAAAATGAGCACAGCATGAAGTAACTGTACCACCATCACGCCATCACTTACATAAATGGCGTTCATTGGTGTTCAGCTGAGGTGCTTTTTACCCATTTAACCCCAGTTTTAATATCAATCTTATTTAGATTCGGAAGCAACATTCTCGGAAAACGAACAGGAATTGTATTTAATGATCAAATGGTAGATTTTTCAAGACCTCATGCTACAGGTTACTGTTTTCTTATTGTTTTTATGGTCAAAGAAAACTGTACTCGAAATATATTTGTCTTCAAATATTACGTGGAACTTAACTGAAGGCAATATGCCATAGTGTTTGTTTCAAATTTTACGTTTCATTAAGAAATAATTGAGTAATCCTATATGTCATGGCTACTCAACTATTCTCACCAAAGGTCCGTACACAAAACTCATAAATTACCGGAGTCCGATCATCATAAAAATTATATTTTAACTATGCAAATTCAATTTCAAATGCGTCGCACAGCAAGATACAAGAACAGTATCACGCATTGATACCGGTATGACAAGACTTTAGTTGTCTAGTTAATCACTGACTTTTCTGTATAAATGTGGAAGACCGTGAAAAAATTTGAAAAATGTACATATTTAAAAGCTTTTTATCTACTCAAATCATCTTTAGGACTGAGAATTTAAAATATATTAGCTGCGGAGGACGACGATTTTTTTTTTCTAAGCAATTTTCAGCAACGAATAACAAAGTTATCTGTCCGTCGTAAGCGGGTTAAATTATATTTCTTCGTTACTGCCAAGTATCTTAATCTTTGTTCTAGTTAGCGAGAGACTAGCTTACTGTACAACTGTGAAAGATTTTGCAAGATGTGGTTATTTGTAATAGAATTTATTTAGGATTTGATCTATATTTAAATTTCGAACAAACAACTAAAAACTGATAAATAGAACGCAATGTCACACCCCATGTCTAAAACTCAATGATAAAGTATGTCAGAGTGACCGCTAAAACTTCAGTTTTCAAGCCACCATTGACATCTTGCTGAAATACAAGGGAAGTAAGTAAACAAGTTAGTCGATGCTCGGTGAGACATAAGTATATTACTATGATGTCATAATTATTTTTCAGTGGTTTAGCGAAAAATGCATTTCATCACAACCGTGAAAGAATAAATAAATGATACTTTCAAAATCAAGAAGCTGCTACGGTCCAAATTTAATACTCGAAAGGTCCGATTCGGACCGCGGTCCGCTAATCGAGTAGCCCTGCTATATTTCAACAATACACTAGGACCAGCCGTTTTTTAAAATATATATATAGCATCCGGCACACAAAACACATCATGCGTTATTTCGTGTCCCCCATAGAAATAGAATCAATGAAAAAATCAATTAGGAAAATAGAGTTAGCTATTTTATATATTTTGCCACATCTAAAAACACAACTACATATTAAGTTAAATTAAAATTTTATGCTGTAAATAGAATACTGCGAATGGCAACTCTATTTTATTATTCTCCGGCATAGTATTACCTACCCGGAAACCAATGTCATATATTGTCAAATACAAAAACTTTTTATAACTCAGTATTTTATATTTTTAGCTAATGGAATCCAAGAGTGTAATAATTTAATTGAACCCGTCAAGCGAGGTTTGTCTTCAACAACTCCAACAATAATTATCGACAAATCAGCTCCTCAATGTTCAAAGGTGAAGATGGTGATCGGTGGGGCTGGGGGAACTCATATCATCAATGCAACTGCACTGGTAAGATTACTAACGCACTATATGAATATCTTAGTGCATAGTATAAAATGTGGCATCATACCGTCTATTAAAGGCTCTAGAAGAGCCATGGAATAGAAATGCGTAAGTTTGCAAGACCAGCAATGCTTGTTTGCTGTGTTTATGCTACGTCTCAACGGCGATGGTATTGGAAGAATATTGCACCGGACCCGTGTAATATAAAAAATGTGGCATCACCATACCACTTTTTCAAGGGTTTTGGAAAAGCTATGGTCTATTATATCAGGTTGGTCCAAGGTTGTCAGCTCCGCGGACTTAGGAATTATTTTTGCATTGTTCGCGGGCCACAATAGTGCCAAGAATAGGTGACCAGTGCAATACAAAACAAACACTTTTATTGTGCATACACATAGTTATCAGGCGTAGCCATTCTAGGCTAATAGAATGCGCATTCGATTTTTAGTTTTCTATGATGCCTATATTGTTAGCATATATTCCCTACCAAAAAGTTAGAAAGCCAGATAAAAATTTGGACTGCCAAGCACATTATTCAACTTCGCAAGTTGCCTCAGCCAGCCATAACACTATTTAATTCAGTGACATTAGTGATGACAATATTTCAAGAGATTTTCAGATTAATTTTATGACCAAACAACACGAAATGCGATTTTTTTTTTCTCTCCGAATGTGACGCGGGCCACAGATAATAAAGCAGCGGGCCTGAGTTTGGACCACCCTGGTCTATATTGTAAGAATGATTTTTGCTGTTTTTGCTGCGCCCCAGACTTATATACCCGGCATTCACCGGACCCGTATCCTAACAACCAAGGAGACGCTTGATTTTCCGTCAAAAATTGGAATTTCTTCCGAAGGCTGTTTGACTTATTAACTTCAGTTGACTTAGCCCACCCTCTGCATGCTTGAGCAAGAGCTATGACGTCATTGTCAAGCAACTTGCGATGCGGACATTCTTGAAGGACATTCAAACAGTGAGGCGGATCGCGCTAACTTGTTTTCTCGACTTTTCAGTCAACTTGTATAATTTTCGTGCTTGCTTTATTTATGGGTTATGAATAAAAGTAGTTCTGCCACCGCGCTAAGCAGTCAATGGTACCCTTACTTTTGTTTATGGTCTTTCTAGACGATAATGCAAAGTTTATGGTTCAACAAAACTCTCGACGAAGCCGTGAGATCAAAAAGATTTCATCACGGTTGGATTCCAAATGTTTTATTAATACAGGAAGGAACGGACCAGGTGATTCTTTGTTTTTTCATTTATCAATTGAACCTGAGGATTGCATTGAGCATTTGTACCTGAATGCATAACCCATAACAATCTTTCATAGATAGATGGTTAATTTGCATACTCTATATAATAAAAGCAAATTAAAAAATGGAGAATTCTGGAGAGATAGCAAAAAGAAAAAAAATTAAACATGATAAATATGTGTTCGCTCATCAGCACACACACATACAAAGATAACAAAAACACAAGCATATGGGAACCAGGCTTGGACCAGAAATGAGCAAGCAAAAAATACGCGTCTTATTTTCATTTTTCAGGAAATAATTCAAGGATTATTGAAACGTGGACATGAAGTCGAAGAAGTAGACAGCCACCTATCTTCGGTTCAAGCAATATTAAGAATAAATGAGAAGACAATCGCTGCTAAATGTGACGATAGACGAGGAGGATCTCCCGATGGATATTAACAAATATACTTTAACATGAATAGTGATCATAACGTCGCGCACCATCAAAATTTAAAATATACAAAAATCTTGAAATCATTCGATCTCGATGCAGTTCTCTGAATCATCATGTTAGTATTCTAAAAAAATTAGTATGAGTCATCTATTGACGCGTCATAATAGATTGTAAATTTTACCTTGGTTGGCGACTTCATAGCGACACTGTACAACTTACCTGATTGATTTCTTAGTCAATATTTCTATTAAACAGTGTATCCAGAACATTATAGAATAACGATTTCGGCAACAGAAAAAGAAGTTTCGGTGGAACAAAATTTTGAAGAAATTTAAAACGAAAAACTTTTAGTGGTAAACCATTCAAGAATAACTGGATACCTATAACACTTAAAATATGTTTTTTTCCGTTTCTGTATAAATGCTTTGTAGCAGAAAGGGTCTTTTATATAAAGGGTCTGTATTAATGCACCCTTTTTTATTGTAATATTATTTTACAAATAAACTTTTTTAAAAAAGAACTTTTTTTTTTATTTTAAAGTCAAATCACAAGCGGTGTATTTAATGTCCTGTTCTACTGTTCCGAGTTTGGACAAATATACAATATTCTGGGATAAATGATTAGGCAGCACTTGACAACCTTTTCCGTTTACTTCTCTCTTCACCTATTTTGAAACTTTATTCATCCCTCGCTATGAATGAAAACTACTTTATATATTCAATCTTTGGTGCCCCCGAAGTATGTGTCGCATAACTAGTACATAGTGTGTGTACCAGCAGGTTAGGGTTCAGGTTGTGCGCCACCTTGGTACACGCACTTCGGGAGCTCCCAATCTTTAATGAATCTCTAGTGTTATGTACAAGTCGCACTCTCGCTTTAATACAGTTTAAACACCCCCGCCACACCTAAAAATAAAATGAAAAATTAGTAATTTTCCAGTTAGGGTTAGTGTAAGAAATACAGATTGTGCTAATCATAACTGGATAATACTAACTTTTTATTTTAAAACGCCGTGTTTTTCTCAAATCTCACATTTTTCATAAGTGGCGGGGGCTACAAAATATCCAATAATTACTCATGCCGTGCAGTTCGTGCACTTTCCTGGGCGTGACCGTCTCGGTGAGACTTCCTTCGGAGATGCTTGTCCCCAGTAAACAATGTTGTTGCTCCTGATGCTAAGTATGACTACTTACAAGTATTCGATTCTTATCCGATTTCCTAAACTTTCGATTCCGAATATCGATTCCTCGACATATCTTACCGAGAAAACATACTCACCTAAGCAATAACATATGAAATCAAATAAGAGAGCGATGTTCAAATATATGGACGAACAAGGAGGCCAAAAGTATGGGTAGCCTATCCAATCTGCCACAGGAGACAAAATCGCACAAAAAAAAGAATCTTTCTGAACTGAAAAGACAACTTGTCCGAAAGAGTATTTTCTTCCGCGGAGGGTAGCATTCTCGAAATTTTAATATTCGACTTGGTTGACGAGAAAATGGTGAAAATTTATAAGAAAATGGGAATATTTTCAACAATCGGCGCGTTTTTTGCTGCTGTCATGGAAACGGAACTTCAATCTGGATTTCCGGTGAAACGCACATAACTAGGGTATAACAGGATTACCTACGTATGAAAATTCATACAGATCAGTCCAGCCGTTAAAGACTCTATAGCTTGGACACACAGACAGAACGACTGATAAAAAGGGAGATCCAATAGTGAAGTTTCCGGCGTCGTATCAACTCAACATAGCAGTAAAGCAGTTTATACATATATGTGAAGAAATTGTCACAATTGTTACACATTGTTGCAATCCAAGTTTTAACTTCGGGATCGATTCCAATGCATCGGAATCGATTCTAGCCGTTTCCGCAAAGAATCGATCCTGTAATCGAATCCGGACATGATTCCGCCATAGCTACTCCTGATAGCAGTAAGTGTGCTTCAGCAGAAAACCAATTGAGTGATTGAAAGGTATGGGAAACGGATGCAAGTTTGTCTTCAACGATATAAAAGTCATCTGGAACATATTTTAGAGAAAACATAACTAAAGCATCCTAGATTATTGAAACTTTAATGTATAATCATACACAAACAGCAGTTCAAGCTCAAATAAAATGAAATAAATTCACTCATCGATCCAAATATATACAGGGTGTCCATAAAGTCCCTTTACAATTTCAATTTTGTTTTGTTAGTTCTCAATATATCTTAACCAGGTTTGTTGTTTTTTAAACAGTAATTCTAGTATTTCTACTTCATTTAATACACCTGTGAGGGTCAAATCAATATAGGGTATCAATAAATTTCCTATACAATTTTAAATTTTGCGACTTTATGGACACCCTGTATATCAGTATTGAGTAGGCCTATACATATTTGAATACCTATTGACTTGAAAACCACCACTTTATCAATTATGCAATACAAGTGCAGTAAGATATTTGTTATCAAGTACATTTTTCTTACCTGAATATTGTATTGAAACAATGATATCGACCAGTATAGCCGGCCTACGATGATACAACCCGCATTCCAACACACACCTTTCTGGCCAGGCATGTATCCGACTGTGGCTTTCCGTTCATAATAATAACAATGCAAAGTAATTAACGGTAAACAATTTAGCAAATCAGATCAAATAATAGTAGCTGAATTAGTTATTAAACATTTTTGCATTTACAGGATGTATTTATTTGAACTATAGCAAACGATAGAGATTAGGAAAAATAGAACAAGTGAGTGATGCTCAAATATATAGACACGAAGTCAAAAGCGTAGTAGTACGGGTATGCAATCTGTTACAGTAGACTACCGGTACGGCAGCTTCATGGCGTCGCCGTACCACCAGATCGCGAACGCGGAACAGCTACAAGACGCGCAAGTTTTAATTTTGGTGGTGTTATCACAAAAAAAAGCGAAATAAATAAAAATTTCGAAATAAATAAAAGTAATACCCTTCTAGCCACAACAACGAGATTTAACCACTGAAAATTTCAAACAATTGGTGCTGTAGTTGAAAAGAAAAGTAATTTTTGCCAACAACAACACAATACCAAAACGATTCATAGACCCATTTCGTGTCCAATAATAGCAGTCGCATTTTCGCCGCATCGATTAATCAAGCTCAGACCGCAGTTCACAAATACCTCGTCCCCGTAGGTTTCGGATTTCGTTTATCTTCACTCTGGTTATCGAAATTCTCGGCTTTCTTCGGATAATTGAAGAAAAAAGTTTATGTGGGTTCGATAGACTGAATCAAAGGCACAGTTCTTTGAAGGCTTGCAAATATCGGCGGCAATTCAAAAAATAAACGTGAGCGTAGAAGTTGTGATAATTGTGACGCATTTTCAAACGTGTTTATTCAGATGGAAGTTAACGCACAATTTTAAACCGGAATCATATTAGTACCGTTATAAGATCCTATGAAAACAGAAACACTTTTTAAAGTTTAGTATAATAGTAACGCATTGTTTAGATGGATGGGTGAACCATAAATAATGAAATTATTTTTCGTACAGATTTTTTTAAATGAACACTATCGTTGTCAATTTGTTAGTGTTCACGGACGCACTAATCGAAACCAATGTCGTCCGGCCAGACAAATAGTTTGCGCATATCATCGGGTGCCGTCGAATGACGATTCAAATTATTAACGAAATTAAAATGATATTAACAAAAAATCTATATTTATTGGCTGCTTGGATATATAATTTTGCAGTCTCGGTTTGGGAAAGCGCATAAGTCAAGATAAGATTTAGAGTTGAGTAATTTTGCAGTCGACTCCGAATCCCCACGCCGGATAATGATAATTTTGACTCCGACTCCACCTCTGAGGAAATCAAATTTTGATACAAAACTTAGGCGTATCATTCTTCTTTTATATGCTGTTAAGGGCGCTTGTAAACTTCGTGTCATTTCAGTTTACGTATAATGTTTTTACTTCTTTTATCGTCATTGAAAGTCTGAAAATCCAACTCTGAGACGCTTCATATGACTCCAAATCTCACAGCCATGAGCTCAATCATACGACTTTTAGGACCTTTTGTTGACCTGCCATCGCTCGAAATAAAATAAAAAATAGTAATTATTCCTTTAGAGCAGCGTTTCCCAATCTTTTTTGGTCGCGGACTATTTTCCCACTGGCGAAAACCTTTACGGACTTATATAATAAACCTTATTGCAACCGTACTCTGTGTGAAGAAGTAATAAAACCAAACACAACAGAATTTTTATGAATTTCAAAATCGGAAAGGCTATACGCAATTACGCCTTTGTTAAAAGGGCCGACTTCTTTAGTGTATAAATGGCCTTTTCTGTCGCACAATATTCATTCCTTGACAGCGACAAGAATTTAAAATGTGTTCTTATTTTAATTTAATTGTGTTCATGCTCACTCGCGGTTGCGTTGACTTATGACAAGATGAAAGCATTACTTCTTCTAAATGCCACGGCAATCTGCGAACATAATATTGTGAGAATATACTGCCCGTTTATATTTAGTTTTGATATACATTATTTGCGATCCTGCGAATTTGTTATCGCCGTTGTACAACTTGATTTAGTACTTATTAAAAATATAATTAGTATATAAAAAATATTCATCGCCTTGCTTCAATTTGTGATCATTTTAATCTGCGGTTGTGTTGACGAAATAAAAGCAATACTATTCAGAAAATATCACGACAATCCGTAAACCCAAAAATGCGTGGTAAAGTGCCCGATTATATTTTGTTTTGATTCGTATTGTGAATTCGACAAATATGAGCTGTTCGTACAACAGTAAAGCCAGGAGTCGGCAACATTTTGTCGCTCGCAGGCCAAAATTAAAGGTTGCAAGTCATTGGTAGGCCGCGCATATTTTTAGAAAGTTAAAAGCCGGGCGTATGGCAAATGAATCACATTTTTTCACACAGATCAGAAGTTAAATTTTAAGCAGCTCCCGAAGACTGACCATTTGAATAATGAACCAATTGCACTTAGCGTTCAACTTTTCTGCGTTTTGTTGCCATTGAATGCCTAATTATAATTAATTTATAGGCTCATTCAACGAGTAATTGTGAATTATATACTTGTTCGGTTATGATATAATTTAGTCTAAACGTGCCGCAAAATAAATTCTGTCATGTAAAGAATATAATCGTAAAAACAGCTATTTTGTTACTATAATTCAGAGAAGCGTCGCGGGCCTGATTATATTGCTCCACTGGCCGTAGGTTGCGGACCCTGCAGTAAAGCAAAGAATTCTGAGGGAAATGCCCTGATACGAATACTACGGTAGCACCCGAAATGTTGCATTTGCAACATGTCTAAAAAAGCGTTTTTAAAAAACTTAGTAAATTTTAAATAAACTTTCAGTTCTATTTTCAGTATTTTATATTGACGCTTTTCAATTTAGAAAATTTAGGTTGCCACCATTGACACCTACCAGAAAAATTATTCCTCGAACAACGACTAAATCCAACCGTTTGAATAAACAACGCGCGAGTGACCTGTCGCGTCACCTGTTAC